AGGGCAACGAAACTGGTGAGGGGTCTGGAGCACAAGTCTTATGAGGAGTGGCTGAGGGAGCTGGAATTGTTTAGTCTGGAGAAGAGGAGGCTCAGGGGAGACCTCATTGCACTTTACAACTTCCTGAAGGGAGGTTGTGATGAAAAAGGGTCTGGCCTCTTCTCCCAGGCAAATAGTAGGACCCGAGGAAATGGACAGAAGTTGTACCAGAGGAGGTTTAGGTTGGACATTAGGAGAAACTTTTTCTCTCAGAGGGTAGTCAGGCACTGGAATGGCCTGCCCAGGGAGGTGGTGGAGTCGCTGTCCCTGGCAGTGTTCAAGAGGTGTCTCAATGAGGAGCTACGAGATATGGTTTAGTAGCTTGTGGTACTAATAGGAATGGGAAGGTGGTTTGAGTAGATGATCTTGCAGATCGTTTCCAACTTTGTGATTCTATGATTCATCTATGATTCTATGATTCAATGATTCTGTGATTAAATTGCAACATATGAAGAGATATGCCAATATTGAAAGCAATGGCATGAGGGCATGGGATCAGATCACTGAATTGAATAGGGAACATTTGCATCCAGAGACTTTGTGTAATATCTATCAGTCAATTATGAAAGTGTTTCCTGCGTTAGTTAGTTCAACAAGAACTAGTTATTCCTGCAATAATATTGTGCATCACCAGTCATTGGATCTAGGTAGCAAAAAATCAGCTAGAGGGAGCTCTGTTGTTGAAAAAGCTGGCAGAAAATTTTCAAATTCAATACGGTGAATTGGAATAGATGATGGTTTTGTCTGTCAGGAGCACAAGAAAAAATTGCCTTCAGATTATATTATGTCAGTTTTATGAAATAAATTGCTTTCACTTGCAGTATATTTAAGAAATTCAAACAGGTCATTAGGTCAGCAAATATTTAACTGAAAGGGAACTAATGAACCATTAGCACACATAACCTGCAGTGTGAAAACATAATAAACATGGAAGATGAGAGTTTTGGATTTTTTTGAAGCAGAATAGAACAAGACCTGCAAAATAGAGATTGCAAATCTAAACTACCCATGGAAACATTAGCTGTGGAAACACAAGTTCTGCTGGCAGAAGGATTAATCCTCTGGGTGATTATGCTGTTGATTTTCCAAATCCACTTATGTTCTAATAAATCCGTTGCCTTGACAGGTAAGAGGAAGTTTTATGTCTCTTGGAGCTGAAAGGTGTATATCCTGAACTACTTAATGGAGACGAAGTGGCAACTCCTTATAGTAAACTGTGCTTGGAATATACATACATTTTTTTTACTCTTAGGCATAGTTCCAAATTTGGAGTCTCAGAAGACAGGCAAAAAAGGGAGACGACAGGTGAAATGGTGTTATGTTGGAGCCTCAAGACTCCAACATAGGTTTCATTTCATTCATGGACAAAACTGGTCTAGCAACTGTGCTGCAATGCTGAGGCACCTGCAGCTGCCCTACAAATGTGCCCCAGGCCAAAACCTCCCCAAAAAGCCAGACTCAACCTCTTATCAGGATGATAACAGCTTTTGCTGTGTTAAGAGCAGTGTGTTAACAGTGGAATTTAGCCACTGTTGGCCTCTTCATCTCATCAGCCTCTGTAAAGACTTGAACTTCTAAACAGCTATTAAAAATTGAAAAGAATGTTTTAAATGGTGCCTCTCCCTCCCCAGACATCAGCATTTAAAAAAAATAAATAAATAAATCCTTGGAGTTCTAACTGAGCAAACATGTTGCCCTTGGCAGGTGTAGTATTTTACAACCCAGGGAATTCTCTTCTCTTCTGAAACATATTTTACTTCAACTCTGTATCTGGTCAAAAAGTGTAAAGCATACAAATACAGAAAATACCAAAATATGCCTTATCTTGTTTAAGTATTTCAGTGAATTGATTCTCTGATATTTGTAGGAAAAGTTTATTTCTTCATTTTAAAAAGTTTTGATGTTCCTATTTCTTTTGAATTGCCTTCAGCATTCAAGAGATGACATTTAACAGGATCATACTGGGTGTTCCCATTACACCAAGCTGAGAGATACTATGTTTTCTCTAGTACATCTAGGGAACCAATACAGGTGAGAGATTTAGCTCAGACATTTCAAGTAAATAGGTTATATTCAAACCCATTTGTGTTCAAGACTTGATGTCCACACTGGATTCACTTGCTCTTGCTGTAGACACACGGAATATTTATTTAAATCTACAGAGAATGCTCATTCTGTTTCAAATTCATTCGTCACACTGACCTTGTGACATGTAATTAAAGCAAGACTGCTAACGGAGATCAATGAGAAAAAAAAAGACAAGTGAGTGATTTGCCCCAAAATAACTTGCATTGTTGTAGTTCTACATCCTTATTGAAAACCTTTTTCTACTTCCTATTAAAAGCACACACAGCTCATGTCCTTTTGCAGGCCTAGTCAGCTGTATTAGATGAAAAATACTTCTCATAGTAGTATGCTTATGAAGAGTACCGTATTTGAAGAAAAATACTTTGGGTACGGTACATTCCAGTCCTTTTTTCACTACTAAATTTGTTTTGATAGTAAGAAGACTCTGTACCTAGAGGACTGGAAACTGGGAGTCCTGCTCTGAGCAATAAATTAGGGCACAATCCAGAGCTTTGTTGTGCTGAAAACATAAGCCTATTGAACTAAGAGTACGAAAAAATAAGTGGAAGAGTACAACTATTAAAAAAAAAAAAAATGAGATAGGACATTCTTTTTGCATAGACCGCAAGGGTATATCTCCCACCAAGTACTGAGATAAAAGCTTGAAGATGCCTTGCAAATAAAATCATTTACACGGAGGCTTGCAAATGAGATGCCCTTGCTCACAAGTTGAGCGGAAGCTTGCAAATTCCTTTCCACTCAGTCTGTACACATTTAGTTACAAAAAAAGTCTTAGTTTATTTTAGTTTTAGTTACAAAAGTCTGTGGACAGCTTGAACTTTTGAACTTTGTATTTACTACACAGACCTAAGAGATCACATACAAGTGAGAATGTGTATATATTAGGCAGACCAGGTAGTCTGTAGTCTTTGAGAACTTCAGCCAATGAGGGAAGGAGGAAGGGACAGTGTGACCAGGAATTTAGAATTAAAGGGAATCTGCAAAGTCTGATACTTTGAGACCTCACAGGGCTACGTATCAGTGGACTCTCCCTTTATGTGAATAAAAAGAGGTGGAGACTCCTCTGTCTCTTTTTGGGAAAAGATAATTCAGCAAGCCTACTAGAGCAGAAATTTTCCCAACATACCTTATGTTTAACTGCATGGTGCTTTGTCCAAAGGTACACTTTGCTTTCAGTATCCAGTGAGTTTGCTAACGTAAAATATAATTTGAAGGAGTAAACTTTGCACTGAAATGATCAAGTAATTGTCATCCTGACACTTTTTCAGTGAAAGAAGAACCAGTTTTAAAGATGATTTAATGTTTTGCTAGAAGAGGAGCAACAGCAGGAAACACTTGTGTACTGATCTAGATACTACCATAGGACTTTCTTCCAAGTGTGCAAGTTTAGACTCCAGATTCTAGTACTGAAGGGTCTGGATCTGAAAATGACTCAGTGCCACATTTCCTCTGTCATCTTCCTTGTGGTAGTAAAAGCATTTCCAAAACTAGCAGCGGGATAGAAGGCAGGAAGGAAGAGAGAAACAGCTGAGGTATGCAGTAATCAGTGGGCCATTATATCAAACTTGTTAAAGATTTAGCAGCTATTTTTGTTGCCAAATAGTGTGCAAACAGAAAGAGGCAATTAGTCAGAGAAATTGCTCTATTCACAAAGTATATACAAATACGAACGAGCATTGATTTCAAAACCTGAGACATCAAAAGATTCTTAATTATATATTCTGTTTTTCTGCGTTTTAACAGGGTAAAAACTACTCAACTTTTTAAGCAATAGTTAGATCCAAAGACCATATACTGCAAATGTGATTTATAGTATAATTAAAACATATTTAGATTATTCCCCAGAAAGATGTATCACCTTATTTTTTACACAATTCTGCTTTTCTATGCTAGTCGATTGTATCTTTATTCTGAAAGCAGGACATAATTTTTTGCTCTTTCACAGGAAGAGGAAAAAGGCATTTCAAATATTTTCAATTTCCAAGAAGAAATGAATTCAGGAACCTAACAAGTACACAAAAATACGTTGTTGTACTTCAAAGAAAGAGAATTTTTATTTTCCTTAAAGTCAAAAAATATATTCATTCCTTTTTTTTTTTTCAGATATTTGTGTCAGTAAAAGAGCTACAGTGAATTTGCAGAAAATAAACTGCAAATGAGAAGTCCACAGGCAAATAAAAACATGTTTAAAAGATCTAATTAACTGTTCTAAGAACAGAACTTCTCCATACAGGAAATGATCTTGAAAACATGTAATAAGAAATTATTTTTTTAAAGGTGAATAATGTTATGACCAAATAGCCAAATGATCCTGTGCCATACGATTTGGAATGCAAATTAAAAATGTGTAACAGGTATCTGTTGAAGTTTCGAGATTCTGTTTGTTGCTGTTGTTTCTGTTGTAGATGAAATATTTAATAACTATGAAAATAGAATCACGATAACCTCACAGAAATGGTGATTCAAAATAGCTGAAAAAAAAAAAAATCTTGACAAAAACTGTACTGACGTCATTAAGATCAGGGTGGAGAAAATTTTTTTCCATTCACTATTTGCTTCCCCAAGCCAGAAGCTATGTGATTACATGACATGCCAGAGAGAGATCTACCTTTCAGAGCATGAAGAAATCCTCTCTTCCTTTCTCAAGAAACACTGAATTCAATCTCCCACACTGGCCAAAAGAGGCTGTCCAAGGGAGAGAGAAGGTGGAGCTAGAAGTGAGCAAGTGCAACCTGAGAATCCCTCCATTTGATTAGTCTTCAAGAGGTAGTCAGAGACCTTGTGGATGGATTAAGCAGATGCTGACTGCTGTTGCCCCGTGCTACAAGTAGATTTCAACACTCATTCAAAACTCTCGTGTCCATCCTAGGTACATGGAGCTGAAGGAGACCACTCGTGATCACTCTGGAGTGCACAATTTGACCTTCCAGGTAAGCAAGGTTTCCTTTGTTCTGTCGGGAAAACTTAGAACAATGAACAAAGCTTACTTCAGTCCCTGAACAAACACTCTACATGCTTTGCACTGATATCTTGCCAAAATATACGGCTTTTATACAAAAAGGCAGAGCTATAATTGACACAGGCTTCTCTTGCTCCCTTCATTACGTGGTATATTGGTACCTTTGAGAAGTCTTCTGACTTGGTAATATTTGATAAGCTGACAGGTCTCACAACTAACTCATCCAGTTTTCCTCTTATATCAGTGCTTCTTTTTTCCTGAGGATGCCTGATTTACACTTGTATTGAAAAGATCAGTTTTATGAGCAGATAGCAAAGCAATGTACATTAATAACATGAAAAAAATATTCCTATAATCAGAGCAGGGCAGATCTTTCTTCCACATGTAAGATAAGTGTAATTGTATGTTTTGCTCCAGAGAAGAATGCAGAATGGAGGTAAGGAGTCAACACAGAAGGTTCTGCATATCATGTGGACAAGGGAATGTTAACAGCCATTTAAAAAATGCAGATTTCAGAAACTGAAGCACAAGATAACACTATTTAGTGTTAGTTATTGTTTCTCAGTGCTTGGCATCCTTGCACTGTCATAGGACTACCAGAGTGGGAACAAACAGAAACTTGTGAATCCACAGCCAGGCCAGTTTATTGTCCTTTGTTTCTGAGAGTAGAACAGACAAGGGAAAAGTTGTGGCTCTTAAGAGTTCTCCAGTGTCAAAATGTTCCTTGCTCTTTCTCTGAAGCTTTCAATCCTTGCACTGTTGCAGAGTCCAGCTAATAGGAAGGGGAGCATGCTGTGGGCATTAATATCAGCCAGCAGTATCCAATACAGAAGAACATTTGCAGATGCTAAATATGATGCAGCAACAGTGACGTACAAGCATTTTATACAAATAAATATTCACTGGGCTATATGATACACACACACAAGAGGTTGATTTGATAATGTGCCAGTTGAGGAATATCTGGAATGTAAGGGAGCTAGGGGCAAGCCCCTACTCCCATCAGTAGTTAATAATTCACAGTAAATGGGACTGCTGTCCCTCTCCTGTAAGAGAAGAGAGAGTGATAACTCTTAAAACATGATAGCATGGCAGTCAGGGCATTCTCGTGGGTAATCACAGTGCTCTCATTACATCTCTGCTTCAGAGCAGGTAGATGAGCAATGTGAACTTGAGTGTGTCTCAGTTTAAATGGTTGAGGTAAGAGAGAGCATCATCCTGGCTTCATTTTCACATAAAACAGGGGTCTGAACCAGCTTCCAAAATCTGTGCAAACAAACCCATGGAGGAGAGGAGCCCCTCCATGGGTGCAGAAGCTCAATACCAAGTGCTCTTGATCTGCCCGTGTCCCATATCACTGCACTCCTCAGCAGTCTCTGTGGAGTACAGAAGAGTGACTTTGGTAAATCTCTTGCTTTGTGCAGCTACCCTACCTGGGCATTGCACAGGTAACCCAGATGCCTCCAGCCTCATCACAGCAGAATTTTGCAAGGGCCTGGAAATCTCTGATTTACATAATCCAAGTGCCGAACTGTTGAGAACATCCATTAGTGAATCCTGGGCTTTGAGTCAGGTTTTCTGGTGGTTTGGGGTTTTTCGTAGTTGTTACTTTTTCCCTCCTCACTTGGGACACCAGAAGGAGTAAATGTTTATATTTATGCTGTTTATCTCTGACTCAACACATAACTCACTCTGACGAAAATAAGACAGAGAAGGAAATAGGTAGCTACTCTTTATAATTATCCACAATAATGTCATAATATACAGAAACACTAGTGTATCCCTTGCTTTCAGCCTGGGTCAGTTTACTTTTCTGATAGCACCAGTTGGAGGATCATCAGCATCATAGATTCACAGAATGGTTTGGGCTGGAAGGGACCTAGTTCCAACTCTCTTGCTACAGGCAGGAACACCTCTCACTAGATTAGGTTCACTGCAGTTGCCCTACGGATTTCCTACTGATAAGCCTAGAAATGCTAACAGTAACCTTAAAACTTAGATTTTATGTATCTCATTTGTGTTTATCCTACATTTAAGATGCAAAGGTTTTACTTAATTAGTTCTGATGATTCGGAGTTTTGCTAATGATGACGTTAAACAAAGAGTCATAAATCTCTCAAGGAACTTCAAGAGCTGGCTTATACAAGGAAATGGTAGGTGAGACAAAGAAAAAAAAAGAAAAAAAAAACAAAACAGCCTGACTCAGGGAGGAACTTGGAGTTGTTAAAACATAAACACAATGCAAAGAGTAGATTGCAGCCAGTAAATATTTATTGTTCACTGGCTTTTGGCTGACGGTGTTAAGATGCATTAAGCAGTCAGAACCGGTTTCTGTAGCCTTGTACATCATGCTTTCAAGAAGCTTACCTGAGGAAAGATCCCTCTTGTACCAGCCTTTTACTAATGCTGCATAAGGACATTGGTACTTCTATAACATAGGCAGTTTTCATAATCCATTCCATCCAAGTATATATCCTTATAATATGGCTTTAAAAATGCCTTTTATTTATCTCTATATTTATTGCTATTTTCTAAAGTTTCCTGAATATCTTTGTGTCCTTGGCTACTGAAGAGTATATGAAATATTTCCACTTCAGGGACATCATTGAAATTTTCCTGAAAATTGTGAAGGCAATGTACTGTATACCACCATCACATGCATGCAGGAAAGTATATTATATTTTCCCACATTTTTTCTAACTCGCTTTTCAAAGGCTTTGTTTCTTTTAGCAAAAAAATACTTAGAAGTTATCCTACTGTGATATGCTGCTGTTCCTTACAGGAAATAGTTGGCCATACCTCTATGATCTTTTGTGCTCAGGTAAAGTTTTTAGGATTTTTGTCCTTGTCATACTCTTTTTGTTCTTGTTTACTACAGTGCCACAATGCCACGACTAGAATGGTCATACACACCTTGTCATCTTCTCAAGAATGTGAAGATGTTTTTCCCTCTTCCACTTTTTCTAGATTTTGCTTTCTCTTTCCCATACACTTAATTATTCTATTTCTTTTTAATGGCTGCCATCTGTGCTAGTCTATAACTTGAAATGCTATCCAGCATTTCAAGATGCCATTCAACTGCCCCACTCACAGCAGACAACTTGAGCGTTTTAAAGAAAACCCTAACATACTCAGAGGTCGATGAGCTTTATTTAAAACCCATTTCAACACGTGAACGCTGTGATTATTGATTAGAAATGTTTCCTCTCGGTATTTAAGATTTATTTTCTGTCTTCCAAAGTGGTGACGCTGGCTAATCAAAAACAGTTCGCGGGGGCAGTGGGAGGGAAAGCTCAGGCGTATGGTCTTAAATTGCACTGAATGCTAAAAGAATAGCGAAGGTTTGAGCTGTAAAGTAGGTGTTTTCGTTTCAATTTACTGAAAACAATCCATGAAATCCACCTAATCCAAATAAAAACATTTGCTCCTGAAGGATTTCAAAAGAGATCCACAAAAGCACTGAGTTCCGTAAGCACTCTGATTCTAATCTCAAAAGTTAATTTAATGATCCACCTTTAAATGCAAAACAGTTAAAGCAAGTGCTTTGGACGCGCTGACAGCCAATCTGTTGTAATCACTAAGGGGCAGGGTGGAAACCATCTGGAGTGGGCGCAGCTGTTAAAAGTGCAATCGAAAGTGAGTTTCTTTGTGATCTTTCTGGGAACTACTCTCCTTGGAAAATCAAGAAGATAGGAAGGGAGCCCAAAGAATGTAGCTATTTAAAAGGCTTGGTGGGCGAACAACTCATCTGATGAACAAAATGCTGACCCTGAAAGAGCTCACTGCATAGAAGTACAAGACAAGTCCGTGCTTTTGCTATTCAATCCAATGTTCTATAAATAGGAAATTCCAATCAGGAAGGTTCAGCAGAATGTGAAATTTCTGTTATATTGGTCATATTTGCTACTATTCAAAGTAAATAGACCAAATCTGTAACCTTTTCCGTGTATGCTACCAGAAAGAGAAATTTCACATTCAATTTATGGCAACTTGTTTTTAACTTCCTGCTTCCTTGTGTCACTCTACACCGAGTTACTTCAGAACTGGCTTGATATTTTCTCCTGTTTTCTGTTACAATGTTTTATTCTGTAGACTTTACTAGGGAAGTGGATGGGTGAAGGAAGCAGATGCTTCTCTGCTTGCGATGGGTGCTCAGGCAGCAATCTATAGTAGCTGTTGATACACACTCGTTGATATTTAGTGGAAGATTTTCTTCAGTAAACTCAAGAATAAGTAGGGGGAAAAAAAGGGATATGGTTGGTTTTTTTTGTCACTTGAATACTGCTATTCTGATGAGATATTTGATAAATTATTTTTCTTCAAGGCTTAGGGTAAAACAACATTAAAATAACACGCCTTTCACCAAACAGGACAAGAAAATTTAAAATGGAAAGGAGGAAAGATGATTATTTGCCAGTACATTAAAAATGGTCTGTTTCATGGGACTTATTCAAAGACTGTTCTTAGTCTGATACTAAACCTCTCTGACTTAATCTTGCTATCAATAGTAATTAATCAGTTCCTACTAAATTTGGAATATGCAAGGAACATGGTGAGATCCACTGAAGTGAGCACTTCTTATGCTTGTAGAATGTAATACATGAATGTAATACATTGCTATCATTCAGTGTGCAGATTATTTAGAGTTTCAGAAACAATGTCATCCTCTATATTGCTCATACATTCATATATTTTAATCACTCTACAAATGAAACTCTTATGTAACTTGCTGCATTGGACAAACAACACAGCTTTCATTGAGCCTGGGAGCAAAGTGATGTTGCCTTGAGTACAGACCACATTAACCTCGGGTTACTCTGGGTGTATTGCACTGAAAGGCTGTACCATCAATCCACCTTTAGTGTCATACCCTGCTCTGCTAGACCAACATGCCCCAGCATAGCTCAGTGTTGATGGCAGTATTTATGGGGTGAAGAGACTGCCTTCCCTCCAGCTGCATCTCTTTCCAGCCAAGTGCTCACTCCAGCCCATGTGGCATCCAAAGTCATATCCACTTCAGTCCATAAAACCTAAATCCCAATGTTTTCCTGATCAGGGAGATCCTTTTTGCCAGTCATTTGATTTCTTCTCTCCAATTACATACCCTACCCATGGAGGTGTTCAAGGCCAGGCTGGATGGGGCCCTGCGCAGCTTAGTGTAGTATTAAATGTGGAGGTTGGCAGCCTTGCCTGCAGCCGGGGGGGTTGGAGCTTCATGATCCTTAAGGTCCCTTCCAACTCAAGTCATTCCATGATTCTAACTATTGTGGTTGAGAACAGGGTTGTACAAAGCAACTTGCAGAGGTTTTTTCCAACACAAATTATTCTGTGCAACTTGTCTGAAGACAGCAATCAACATACTTTCTGTTTTTCACATTTTTTTGAGCAAAAATCCTAAGAAATCTCTGCCTTTTCTTGCTCTCAGTAACAAGTGCCAAAATCTGCAGGGACAACATCGTCCTTTGTGCTTATTAATTATATAACTGAATCAGTTCAACTTCACTATTCAATGTAGAATTTCTCATATGTTAAATTTACAGTTAAGTAAACTGTAAATTTACAGTTAAACAGTTAAGCATTGCTCTTGCTTTTTTTGAACTGTAGGGAATGTTCAGTAGAGGCTTTAAGCATGGGATGCGGGACTAGCTATAGGAAGTGTGTAAGACAGCACAGTTAGAAGACAGACAAGTAACAGAGGTGCTCTTTCAAAAAGAAACATTGCTCTTCGAAGGGAATGCAAAGATACTCTTCTCTCAAAACAAGAAAGGGAAATTGTGTATTGGCATTTGGTTTATCGAGGCCACAGCAGATGAACAGACAGCTTTTGTGATGCCTTCCTTTTTTCTCAGTTCTAGAAACACTTTTACTGACACTTCTTCTGTGAAGTTAGACCATCTTTAAGAAAAACACATTACTGTAATGTGTTCTGAGTGCTTTTAAACTCACGTTTCTGCTGAAAGGCAAAATTAATTTATATAGAAGCATTATTCATTTTTGCCTTTATCATAATGCACTACGATTAAGGTTATTTTGTATTGTTCATCTGAAAACACTTATTTTCTTAGAAGACTAAATGTAGGTAATATACTGCTTTTTACCACATTAATGACATACATCATAGAATAGAACACAGTGAAATGACTGTTTTATAGGAAGAAAGGCGGGGGGGAGGGGGGGGGAAGGAAGAAAAAAGGAGAGAGAAAGAGGGAAAGAAAAAGGAAGAAGGAAACAAGAGAACTCAGTTTCAAAATAAAAATATGTAGAAATAGTGGAACTTGTTACACGTGGCAGAAAAGTACAGCAAACACTAATAAACACACTAATAAAAGGCATACCACAGAGAGCGAACGTAATAAAGCTAACTTGTGCCTTTAAAGACACTCCTGAGTTTTATTCCAGAAGCAACTGAAATACATATTAAAACATTGTACATATGTTATGTACATATGCCATGCATGCATTAATAAAAAGCATTGTCTTGAAAAAAAAGATGCTGGGCCATTAACACCCAAATAAGTCATTCTGTTGCAATGGGAAGAATGGACACATCTTTGTTAGTGAGTTAAGCAAGTTCTGAGGCAAAGAGTAGAAAATGCTGCTTTAGGTCGAGAAAGCAACACTGACTGAGCTCTGTTTGTGATCAACACAGCTTTATGTAGAAGTGCAAGGACATGAACACATGCATTTTGTATACTGAGTTTTGGATTCTTCTGTAATAGCAAAGTGAAACATGGAAGCTCAGGAATCATAGAATAAACCAGCTCTCATTCGACATAAGAAAAGGTTTTGCTTTTGATATGAATTGACACTATTTTTGGTCCTCTTGTATCCCAGAATGACAATGAAGACATTGACATTATATATCAGGAAGATCTTCAAGACAATTCAAGGAGATTCAAGAAGTCAGAACATGACAAAAGTGTACGTACTTATCAGGTATGCTTCTAACTTTTTTTTCTTTTGAAAAAAAGCAGTTTTTAGAAGCCTGATGTAAATTCATTAACAGCAAATTCAGTGTGAGAGGCTATTACAACATATCCAAGGCAGATATTTTAAGAAAACATGAATTCAATTCAAAACTTGTAGGCTAACAGGGAAGCCAGTTTTGTAATCTGAAATACATTAAGAAAAAAAAAAAAAAAAAAAAAAAAAAAAACCACAGAAAATTAACAGAAGACTTCAGAATAGGAATTCTGAAAAACTAAGTTTTCTAGTATCGCAGTGGCTTCATGCAAAACAGGTATCAGAAATGGTGTTCAGAGGAAATATTGTTGATAAGGAGTTGATACAGAAGTATTTTCTACTGAAAAGTTGAAAACAGAGGATCTGGGAACATTATTGGTGATTGATGCTGTCTTTGAGTCAGGATACAGATATTACCAAATATCTGTGCCACCAACACAAGGAAAATTTCAGAAAAAAACACAGTCTGTAGGCAACAGCTCTGGCTTGTGACTGACCGAAGAGAGAAAGAGGAGAATACAGTACAAAAACAATACAAATGACTTTATACACATAACTATTTTAATTTTTTTTTGACTGCCAGTTTGCCTAAATCCACATAGTGAGTATCTAACTATGAAGGTAGGAGTCATTTTTACACAAAACTTTTATTTTTTCTGGAAGTAGATAATTTCTAGTGTCATCTATTTTCATACCCATACAAAAAAAATGACCTGTTGTCTTGAATTCTTGGTAAATACTTTATATATGTATATCCTGTTTTGTAATCATGTCTACTTAACAAGTTTGATGGTAGGATCTGAAACCACATATAAGAAATAGAGCTTTCTTGGTGTTGGATTTTCCTTTCTTTCTTTCAATAAGTTTTGCATATAAACAGAGGCAGAAAATGCATGCTGCCAAATAAATGACTCTGCTTTCCTCCTGCCTCTCAAAGCTGAGACGATTCTAGATTTGTAATGATGGAAGGGATCACCCACATTACTCTGGTATGCAGACCTGGAAACTGGGATGTGAGATCCTAGGAATGTGGTAGGCAATGTCTGTATCTGCCTCTTCAAAAAATCATCAAGAAAGAAAGAATACAAAGAATGGAATAAAAGAACTTTCAGAATTGTTGAAAACTTTAAAAACCAAGAAAAGTAGTGGCAGTCAATGAAAGCTTAGTTTCTGTAAGTTACTCTGAAAGTGATGCCTTCTATTTATGCAGAGGCACTTGAAGAATGTTAATCTTCAGTTCCACTAACAGACCACAGAAAAAATGGGAAGTTTTATGCACGTGTAGAATTTTGGAAGTCATATGACCCTAAAAATGTACATATTTGATCAGATCTTTGAGTCCCTGCCTCTGGAAGCATTCAAGAAACATGTAGATGTTGTACTAAGGGACAATATGGTTTAGTGAGGAAATACCAACCAGTGGTAGGTAGATGGTTGGACTGGATGATCTTGGAGGTCTTTTCCAACCTTGCTAATTCTCTGATTCTGTTTATTTCCATGGAAACTACAACAGCTACTAAGTGTACAGTAAATATGTTTGACAAAGGAAATGCCGAACTACAAAACACTATTTCTCAACATAGACATCACCATTAGCTATGCATTTTTGCCAGTTTTGCCAGTAATGAACAAGAGTCTGCATGCTGTACTTGTAAATATCTGCACCAGTGGAAGTAAACCACTGTTTAACAACTGCTACAATGGCATCATTGCTGGGAAAATGTTGCCCACACAGCCCATCTTTCATTAGACAATCCTTATCTCCAAATTGGAGGGATGTGGATTTGATGGGTGGACCACTCAATGGATAAGAAACTGGTTGAAAGGCTGCAGACAGAGGGTGGTCATCAATGGCTCTATGTCCAGGTGGAGGCCGTCCCCCAGGGGCCTGTCTTGGGACCGGTGCTCTTTAACATCTTTATCAATGACATCGATGACGGAATCGAGTGCACCCTCAGCAAGTTTGCTGATCACACCAAGCTGAGTGGTGCGGTTGACACAGTGGAAGGAAGGAATGCCATTCAGAGGGACCTCAACAGACTGGAAAGGTGGGCCCGGGTGAACCTAATGAGGTTCAACACAGCAAAGTGCAGAGTTTTGCACTTGGGCCGGAGGAATCCCAGGCATCCATACAGACTGGAAGGAGCGGTCCTTGAGAGCAGCCCTGTATAGAAGGACCTGGGGGTCTTGATGCATGAGAAGCTTGATGTGAGCCAGCAGTGTGCTCTTGCAGCTCGGAAAGCAAATGGTATGGTGGGCTCCACCAGAAGAGGGGTGGCCAGCAGGGACAGGGAGGTGATTGTCCCTCTCTACCCAGCTCTTGTGAGGCCCCATCTGGAGTACTGCGTCCAAGTCTGGAGCCCCCAGTGCAAGAAAGACAGAAAGCTGTTGGAGAAGGTCCAAAGGAAAGCCACAAAGATGATGAGGGGCTAGAGCACCTCCCCTGTGAATACAGGCTGAGGGAGCTGGGCTTGTTCAGCCAGCAGAAAAGAAGGCTGTGGGGTGATCTAATTGCAATCTTTCAGTACCTAAAGGGAGCCTACAAACAGGAGGAGAATTGACCCTTTAAAAGGATAGATAACAGCAGGACAAAGGGAAATGGTTTTAAGTTGAAGGAGGGAAGATTTCAGTTGGATGTCAAGGGGAAGTTCTTTTCAATGAGAGTGGTGAGGTGCTGGAACAGGCTGCCCAGGGAGGTTGTGGATACCCCATCCCTGGAGGTGATCAAGGGCCAGACTGGATGGGGCCCTGGGCAGCCTGGTCTAGTATTAAATGTGGAGGTTTGTGGCCCTGCATGTGGCAGGGGAGTTGGAGATTGATCTTTGAGGTCCCTTCCAACCCTGGCCATTCTGTGATTGGTTTGAACAAATGAAGTCAGAAGATGACAAATCCAGACAGCATGTTGGGAGTGATGGGTCAGTCCCACCAAGATTGGCAATATGCTTCATGATGCTTCAATTGATATGGAGCCTACCGTTATCACATTGCAAGAGAAAAATTGTCTTCTACTCTGACCGCACTGTGGAAGTTTGAGCCTTTAGCTTATCTAGGATCACAATGTAGTGATCAGTGTAAATGGTTCATCTGAGTTCCAGGAAATCCAGGAAGATCACCTCTTTTCTATATCAAAACACAGTGCACATCACTTTACCCACCAAGACCTTTGTCTTGAACTTCTTATCTGATGGGAAATTCACATTGCCACTCCTCCCTCAGGCTGCCATTTGAATGCCAGTTCACAGTGGTGACAGCACATCTTGTCACTAGTGATTATGTGACTCAAGAAATTGTCACCTTGTACTGGTCCTATAGTTCCTAACAAACTTGCATACAGTGTTCTTTCTTTTCCTGTGTTCCCATCTGTGGGACCCACTTATCACAAAATTTGTGCCATTCCAAATCTGCTCTATAATATCCAAGGCAGTGAAGTCAATATTCAGCTCTGTACGCAGTTCCCTTATCATTATTCAGGGATTTGTGCAGATGAGTTGGTGGAGACTCTTCATTTTGTGGTGTCACAGCTGTGCATGGCTATCTGGAACATGGCTTGTCTTTCACATCTCTGACATCTCTGCTGAAACATACCACCCACTGACTCACTGAGCTCACATCCACTGTTTGGTCTCCTTAAACGTTCAGTAAATGTTGATGAATGCCAGTGGGTGGAATTTTTTCTGCGTGCAGGAATTTAATGACACACCTTTGCTTCATATACACTTCCATGTCAGATGCCATATTCTCAGAGTGCCCCTCTGCTGCCATCTGTCACACGTAACAGCACGTGACAAAATTCTGGCAGGAAGGTTCAACCCCTACTGCCATACCACCAACGTCTGCCTCTGTCATCATGAGCCAACATAGGAAAAATAAACAAGAAAGACTTTACTATCAGAGCAACCCTCATGAAATCATAAAAAAAAAAAAAAAAAAAGCCAGTTTCCACTGAAACAGTTCAGCTGACAATGTTTAGTCAGTACTTTGTACAAACATACCAGAGATATGCATATCTACAGAAATTCATAGACATATCATGTCTTTGTAAGAAAAGAGCTTATATGGTCGATTTGGAGCAAACTAGAACAGGCTTTCTGTGCCCCTAGAGGCAGAAGTCTATGTCCTTCAAATTGGCCTTGGGTTAAACTCAACAAGGACCTCACTTCCCCAAATCTGGCATTATGTGACCAAACTGAAAAGAAGGAAAGTGTTTGGATTCATTTGCTCTTTTCCTTGTGCCTTTGCACAGAGTTAGACACAATAAGATCTTTGATTTCAGATTTTCTTCTTTTTAATATATTTTTAATACATATTTATGACAGTAAGGATTAACATAATATTCTGGATCTGTTTTGCACTGTAAAAAGATAGACTGATACTTTTTATAAAAGTAAAAATCACTCAATTAAAACAAAGAGATGATATTCTCAAGATAAATACTTGAAAACAATCCTTCCCATTTTTCACTGCCTGGAATCCTTATTGTACCAGTGTATTTTATGGAGTTAAAGAACCATGGTGCAGGTGGTGGGTGACCCAGAGGAGCTCCTGGCTTTAGGATGACACAGCAGCATGGGGGAAAGGAATAGGGAGGTACAGTTTGGCCTTGGCCACATGTGAAGCAGGTGTGTCAAGGACAGTGGTGAAGAGAGAAGAGGGAGGTGTGGGACATCGGTATCACTTGTAGCCTAGGGAAAGTGCCCTAAGCAGAGCACAGTTATCCACAAAATTGGAAGCACAGCTATTCAGCACAGAAGGCAATCCAATCCTGATTTTTTAATTTATAAAGTAGGCCTGAGATTTTTGCCCCCACAAATTCAAAAACTTGTGAGAACCTGAAGTTAAGCCCAGAAAAAATATTTCTATAGCCTCGGCAATCACTGTCCCATAGGGAAGCAGTCAACTTCTTGCAGCTGCTGGTAGGACTGCTCCCAGCTACCTGTATAGTCAATGAATATAATTATGAAATAAACAAGAGAGTTCGGCAGAGAAGATTACAATAACAACAACAACAAAAAATAGATAGAATGCTTACCCGCATCCTAGGCTCACTGCAAAACTCCAGAGGAAAGATCTTCAGAAGAGATCCTTCCCTGCTGGTAGACAGCTCTTAGATGGGTCTAGGAGAAGCGGAGCCAGGCTCCACCCCTTCCAGCACACAGGTGAATTGCCTTCACCTGTGCTCCCGTGGCTGACTCATTGCTTGCCTCAGGTGATCAATCAGAGGTTCAGGTCATGATTCAGCAGTTCCCATACATACCAAAAAATAGGAATTCAGCAGGTGGCGGGATCTGCAATTTATGATTTCATAATAGATAACAAAGAAAGAAAGAAATCAAGTTTATGGAAAAGACGCCCATACTTTAGAGCACAAGCTTTGCATTGCTTTACAACATCTGCACTGCTGTGGGATTTGATGTAGGGGAGTGAACAGCAGTTTCCATGCACGTTGACATGTTTCCTACATGCCATTTTAATCACTGGCCACATGTCCACCCTTTGTCAGTTTACCTATGAGATTTTCTGGTCAGATGCTAATGAAGGGCTCACCAGAACTGTCACTAGAATGGCAAGATCCCAGCATGGGCAGAAGAGCCATTCTGAAAGCAGGGTCATGCTCCAGGGCATACTTCGATATACAAGAGGCAGGTTGGGGAACAAGGCTGCTATAAATATTTGTAACATTAAAAAGTTGAACTCACTCACAGGCCGGTCCTGTAGGGACATTTCCTCCCTACAGTATATATAGCACATTGCCCAGTACAGGACAGTATATACCCAGAAACACAGTGTTTGCCATTGTGGAAGTTTCCAGACACTGTGGAGCACGTGACCTGTCACATTGCTCAGACTGGGTGTTAAAATCAGCAGGCAGGAGGGCAGCTAGACCACTTGGCAGCATTCAGTTGCTGCGCTGCCTTTGAATGCCAAGGAGCCCCAGCAGCAAATGTGCCTGGGTGCCAATCCTGCCTTAGTCCCTGCCATGAGCACCAAGGTACATACAGGTGGGATGGGCACCTGGTGGGCCTCTGAGTGGCACCGAGCCAGTTCCAGAGGCATCTGAGAAGCAACATGCCTCCCAGACACCGCGAGGATGGCCACCAAGTGTGACAGAGCTGAGTGCATGCTGCAGCATTGGAACAAAGCTCCCTGCCATTTTGGAGAAATGGGAACTAATCAGAACATGCAACTGCACAAAATGAGATGAAAAGAAGAGCTTCATAGTGTTCCTGATAAGAAACTGCCTTGTTAGACTGCATATAGATATATATAGTACAAGGTAAAATAAGAAATTTAAAGCAAGCAATGAGGTACAGGAGGAAACATCAAAATTTCCCTGACAAGGGAGGATCCAGATATGAAATAGAAAGAGATTCTGGATTTTATGCTAAGCCTGCTGGCTGTAGTGAAATACGCTTCTGGGTGAAGGCAAAGTGTCAGCATAAGCACCTGTTTTTATAAGCCACATGAATCCAGCTCCCTGCCCTCCTGTCCACAGGCCCAGTGCCAGCCTGTGCTCAGCCCACAGGCCATGCCAGGAGCACAGCACAGCCAGCAGGAAGGGAAAGGTGCATATACTGGATGTGTCCCTATGGACAAGATCACAACGTGCTTGTAAGTGCTGAGTGAGTTGTTACGTAGGCAGCTATACAATCCCCACCTGTAACATTCACTCTTCAGTAGGTATGCAGAGCTGCTATATATGGGTGCCTCTTTAGCTCCAAATAACACTGGAAGGTGTTTTTTTTCCCCTTTATTTTCTCTTTCAAAATCATGTCGAAGCCTTGGGAAAGTCTGTAACTCAAAACAGTCATAAGTTGGCAGTCGCAGCTTAACTACCTCATTTGCCTGCTAGTTATCACAGTGTTGGTGGCAGACAGAACTGTAGCTGTGTACCCAGTGCAGAAGGGGAAAGTCTTGTGAATGTTTCAGCCATCTGCCTGTGGGGATCTCTGCTTTTCACATGTTTACTTAACAAGTATGCATCCCTCTGACAGTGCTGGTACTGATCTGTTTTCCAGGAGGATGAATTCATCAGTATGGAGAGTGATCTGCATGAAAACAAATGTGACTCTATGGATGAGCTACGCTTAAAAAGGTAATGTCTTCTGGATGGGCAAATAATGCACTTACTTCATCACAGCCTAAACAGTCAACCAGTGTTTCAGCTTCTGGAGCAAGAGCTCATAATGTTGCTGCCATACCCTTGTGCAGTGCAGACCTTTGTATCACAATTTTAGTAATACAGAAACACATTGTTTTTAAAATCACTTTACCTTACAGCCAAAATGCATGTGGAATTATGATTATAAAGCCTCAAAAATTGAGCCAGCAGTGTGTGTTTGCATCCCAGAAAGCCAGTGGTATCCTAGGTTCCATCAGAATAGAGGCAGTCAGAAGAATGAATGAGGTGATTTTCCCCAGTCTTCGTGGGGCTCCAGCTGACGTACTGCATCCAGGTTTGGGGCCTGGATGCCCTAACATGGGAAAGACATTGAGATGTTGGTGAGGGTCCAGAGGAGGGCCACAAGATGGTCCAAAGAGTGGAGCACCTGTCCTATGAAGACAGGCTGAGGGAAATGGGCTTGTTCAGCCTGAAAAAGAAAAAGCTGTGGGGAGACCTCGTTGTGCCCTTCCAATATTTTAAGGGAGATTATAAAGAGTAGGGAAATCAAGTTTTTGCAAGGGTAGATGATGACAGGGCAAGGGGATATTGTTTTAAACTAAAGGAGGGGAGATTTAAATTAGATGTCGGGGAAGCTTTTTACTGAAAGAGTAGTGAGGTGTTGGAACAGGCTGCCCAGAGAAGTTGTGGATGCCCTGTCCCTGGAAGTGTTTAAGAACAGGTTGGACGGGGCCCAAGGCAATCTGATCTAGTGCTTGACTTAGTGGCTGGCAATTGTGCTTGTGGCAGGGGAGTTGCAACTTGATGAACCTTGAGGGCTTTTCCTACCCAAGCCATCCTACAATTCTAAGAAATTAAAGGAGCAATTTTTTTTCTTTTTTAAATTAATTACATTTGCAATATTTCTGAAAGGAGCTTTTTAAAAGAAAGGCCTTAAACAGTGAACTCTTGCAGAAAGTCAAAGATTCGACATTGCTCTTCATTTTACATAGCTGGTTACCCCACTGCAAGTTGAGAGTAGAATAGATGTAAAAAAAAAAAAAAATTTTGCTCTAGCAGAATTTGTGCCTCTCATGCAGTGTTGCTAAGTCTACACAGTGAAAGTACACACTGATAATTATTTGTGAATTAGTACCCTGATGAGAACTATAAATCTCATGTAAGACGTCTAAAAAAGTGAGATAGAATACTTAAAATAGTAATTTATATCTTAATATTTTTCCATCTGACTGATGCTTTGTTTAAATCCTCATAGAAATCATACTGTAATTTTTCTGCTAACTTACATTTCTGCTTTCTAATATATATCATGCCATTTCAGCTTTGAGTCTGTTTTTATCAGCTGATTCTAGGTACTGACTTGCTGGATGTTCCAAAGAGGAGTTTTTCTAACTCAGACTGAACAACTTGAAATGATCTCATGCCTGAACAAATGGTACAGTTATATACAGAAGCAGTAATTGTGATCATTCATGCTTTTGAGCTGTACGTACAGAACTTTCAAGACTTCTTACTATGATTAGGCTTTCTGATGCCACTATATTATTAAAATACTGCTTTAAAGAGCCAGCAAGAGTCTCTAGATGTCCTTAAAGTCTTTAAATTTTCTCTCATTTCTCTTCTCTGTTCTATGGAGAACATTTAATGGTTAAACATTTTCAGTGTTCTTTAAAAAAAAAACAAAAAAAACACTGAGGTTTGATAGATCAAATGTCAGTGATATGTACCCAATACTTATTCCGAAATTATCTAATTGCACAATAAGTGCAGGTACACAAGTGCATGCACAAGATTAGTAGTATCTGTCTCCCCTCAGACCCAGGCCCAGGGACTCACTGGACTGCAAGGAGTTCTGCCCAGATAGGCACTTGGGCAGTTGTAAGGTTCCATATTTGTCACTCATCTTTGTACTCCCACAGAGAGCCAAGAGCTAAGTAGCTTTTAATTCACAGGGCTTTATCATCCTCTAGGCTATCATGTTCTTCCAGCAATATCTGGTATCATGCCCTTGAGCAGTGAGAGCTCCTTTGCAGACTGGAAGCTGAAGAGCACTTTGCTCTGTTCTAATTATATTCAGGCTCTGGCTTGCCCTATACTGTTGGGCAGTACCACAATGTGATCTAATGTTTTAGTTCTATCTGCTTAAAAGGAGTGTTCATAAAGTGTCCCTTAATTTTGAATGCATCATTGATTTCTTTCAAAAAATGGCACTGAACAGACTGTGATTTGAGATATAAAACCTCTGAAACGTCAGATTGTGGATACCGATAAGTATGAGCACATTCACTCACAGAGTACAGGCAGATCAGAACAAGGATTTCTAAGTTGTAAAATGCAAGCAAGAATAGAGTTGGTATACAAAAATGTATCACATTAAAGCTCTCATTTAAGTATCCTTAAAATACATTTGGTTTTTCAACATCGTCAGCTAAGTAAAAGCCATCAGCAGTGTGCTGCAGTATAAATCAATAGTCAGCCTTTAGCAAACAGTGTTTACTTAGCAAGATAACCAAATATCATAAGGGAGACTATTTTCTTCTGCTACCTTTCAGAAACAGAGTTGTATATTTATAACATATACTTTGAAATATTTAAGATATACTGGTATCAAAGTGATAATCACTAAACAGATAAAACAAGAAGATAGGGAAATATGTTAGATTAAATAAGAAATTACAAGGAGTTGAAATCTTAAGTAGTGATTTAAAATCCCAAAAGACTCATAATACATAGTAGCAAATCAAAGCTAATATTTTTTCCTTTTTATGTTGATGGTGGTGGTGGATGAACAATAAATTTGATAAAGTCACTCTAGATTGTTTGTTCACCTGTCTTCCATTTCTCCTTTTCTTTCTTCTCATGTATCTAATCTCACTATTGAGATTGAGTGGATAACCTAATTTTCTAACAAGTAAAAGCAAAGGACTGTGATCTCTAACGCAACAGGAATTCCTAGGAAGAAAAAAAAAAAAAAAAAAAAAACTGGAATATCAAAAGCAATCAAGATTTCTCAGAGATCCTGTTACTTTTTGAACTAATGAACAAGGACGTTCCTTTTCTGCTGTTCTGAGTACAAATACAGTAGGGCAGAAAAGCAGGGTATTCATGGTGAATGTCAGTGTGTATCTGACTCTAGATGCATCTGTTTTTTCAACAAGTACAGTCTGGACAATTAACAGCTCTAAACATATTGTTGCTTTGATAGACTGCAAGACTGTCAGAGTGTGAGACATGACTTTACAAGAACATAAGCTATAGCTGTAATTTCCCTTTCAGCTTGAGCAATACTAAGGGATTTATTTAGCTACAGCTTTTGTAACTAAAATACACCGACATCATTAGCACATTTAACATCAGAAATCTGTGCTGAATTATCATCTAAAATGCTGTTTTCCTAAATCTCAGTCTTCCTCATGAAATCACTTTGTGTTACCACTAGTAAGATGAGAAAAGAACAGACACTAGAAAAATGTATTCAATATTAGAAATCGTTTTACCTCCCGTGAACTGAAGAATCTTAGGTGAAAGGTTAGTGTATGAGGGCTGCTCCCAAAGTAATGCTTCCTACTTCTTTATGTTGGCCCACAACATTGGAGGGGGATGTTGCTGATATGGTAGTAGAGGCTGAACCTTCCCACCAATATTCTTTTACTTACTGTTGCCATGTGACCGATGGCAGCAGAGAGGCAGTGTGAGAAAATGGCATCAGACAGGGAAGTGCTGATGTAGCAAAGATGTGGAACTGAATTCCCACATACAAAAAAAACGAACCCACTGGCACTCAAGTATGCTTGCTGAATGTTTACAGAAACCAAACAGTAGATGTGAGCACAGTGAGGCAATGGGTGATGCATTTCAGCAGTGATGACAGTGTTGAGAAAGACTGAAGCCATTTTCCGGATAGCCATGCAGATTTTTACAAGCGCAGCACACAGACTTGCTCCTCACTGGTTAAATGCATGGATGATGGTGGTGACTATGTTGAAAAAATAGTGCTTTGTAGCTGAGAATTTGCTCTACCAAAAAGATTTATTGTGCTCTTTGTAGCTGTTGTAGTTTCCATGGAAATAAATGACAGGCATTACTTCCAGAGCAACATAGGTAAGTAACAAACAAATTTTAAAATCAAGAAGCATCTGTGCACACATAGTAAGATTTGTGCTTTATTGATTTATTGATTATTTTGCATCCACATGTGCAGATGGAAGCTACAAGCCCTGAGACAAACTGTTACTGTCAGTTTTTCCTAGGAAATTATCCTCCAATCTTGGGCCTTCACAACTATAGCAAAACTGCCACTACATGTAGCAGTGATAGTGACTGTATTAACAATCTCTGTAGGTCTAGTAATGGGCACTGAATCTTTATCTAGTTTGCGCTAACCTTGTAAACAGAGTTCCTCACAGAAGTAGAGCTGGCAGAACTGGCCTGCTAACTTTGGCCCATCATGCAGATACCCTCTGGACTGTCCTGTTAGATAAACTGATGGATTTTCCTTTTTAGTTGTCAAAGCAGAGAAATAATCACAACAATCTTAGCAGACATGAAAATGATTTTCCTTAGTACTCATGGATCCAAATTCAGCTTTTACTCCAGTTAAAAATATTCCAGTACATAAATTTACTCCAGTAGTCAATTTAAACTGTTAATTCTGTGGAAACTACTTTTTTATTCGCAGCTCAAGTTTCTGTTCTGTTTGTTTTTTATGTTTTCCTAGGCCTTTAGAAAAGAAATATGATAAAGCCTACATTTTTTGCAAGAAATATAGAGCCAGAATTAAGTATGTGATGTACGGAATTTTAATAACAGGTACAGTATATTACACCCAGTGTTGGTGAGCCCTTCTTTATTTACCTATATGAGGTTGTAGACTGTGCTAGTCTTACATCTGACACACACAAAAAATCCCAAACAACTACTCTTGATACTTTAAAAATGCATTTGAAATGATGTTAAAATGAACTTAGTCCCAGGGAAAGCTCTGAAGAGCAACCTCCTCTCATTTCCAAACATAACAAGAGCACAGACCTTGCTACAGTGCTCCTTCAGTAAGTTTTATCTTTGACTAGCTGTTACTTAGGGCATAAGGGTTAGTTTAGTCTCTGTATCTAATCAATTTCTTGCCCACTCCATGTGGCTTGCAATTAAATAACCATGAAATCAGCTAGAAGGTATCATGGACCAACCTGGATGAGACTTAACTCCTCAGGAAATGAAAGTTTTTTGTTCTGACCTATCTCATGCAATAGCCACAGCAAATGTTTTCTGTAGAAAATGTTCTGATGTATGTCAGCATGCACTGCAAAGTAATTCACATATTCTTTCTTGCTGCTTTCCTAATTATCCAGTAGATTGGTTTGTTTCATTCCACTTCACCAAGTTTCTATTACAGATCTTTCTTTCTACTTGAACACTTACTGAGAGCATGTAGACCTACAACATGCCTATGAGATAAGCATCAGCATAATATAAAGTGGTTATAAGAGAGAGTATTGCATAGTGAATATCCTGTCCTCCTAGCATCAGCTCATCTTTGTCATAGTGTAAGTGCATCTTGGCTCGAGAAAGAAGATGAGGTCTAAAATTATGTCAGGGATTTATACGTTAATTCCATGAAAAACAACCTGCCTTACAAAAATCAGTAGTTCTTTCTTACTTGCCATAGACAAAATCAAATTATTATTTAAAAGCATTGAAAATTTCATTAGTACCAAATGACAGATTATTTCATTGCTACTTTATGAAATAGATAAACAATTTAAAATTTTCCAATTATTTCAGAAGCCCATCAAATCAGGAAATTGGCAAATGTTTCTACACATTGCTTCTGATCTTACTGGATAAACTCATCCTCTTGTGAAAGAAAGAAGATTGATTTTTCTTAATTCACTGTTTTTAATATTGGATAAAGCATTTGTGCAGATGGTTTTATTTTCTCAAGTGATGGATATATTTGATATGAACTTGACTTGGTGAAAGCATGCATATTCTGCTTCCACAGAAGAAAACCAAGAACAATTCCACCATTTCCAGCAGTACAGTTTATATCAACGAGCATAAGTAACAACAATATTCATGAAAGCAGAATTTCTCAATATCTAGAATAAGAGTCAAAAGAGCACTCAAAGCACTCAAAGATAAGCTCAGACCTGACTTTAGCCATGCTCTTATGACTGAATTTAATATTTGATTCTCTCTATGAAGAGACAAGACATAACTGACAAGTATAATTTTGTTTCTTGGCAGCTTATTTGGCAACAGTTACTGCAGCCTGCAGCTTGAATTTTCAGAGAGCCTTGCCACTCTTCATCATTACTGTCCTAGCCATCTTCTTCATCTCCTGGGATTTTTTAGCAGTGAAGTATGGAGACAGAATTGCTGCATTTTTTTCCCCTGGAGAAAGATATTTGGAGAAACTGTGTTTTTGGCTGAAATGGTAAATATGAATGACTACTTACAAAAGAACAAAGTGTTAGTTTACTTTTACAACTTTTTTTAACTTAAGGACCATAAGCAAAGAAAGAGTAAAAAATTCCTCAAATTGAGGCATATCAGGTTTGTTGCTGTGAAAGCAGTCCAGAGAAGTTCAGGGATCTGTATTCATTCTACAAGCCAAAAATGCCATTGTCAGCTGCTCAGAGAACTGTGAAATTTGTGAAAAACAAACAACAACAAAAATCGCCTTAACTCTAACTTTAGTAGACTGCTAAATGCTGAAATGTGTTATTGAAGCACTACTTGTTCACATATCCCCATAGCAATGAGCTAAGAGCTTTTTTGATTTAATCTTCAGAAGTCAAATCATAGCAGACACATTTGGTGTTGTAATAACATCATGCAATCTTATTTGGAGCGGTAGACATTATTCTGGTAAATAACGTGTAGATACTTATATATGGCAGATTTTTGTTCCAAATACTTCTTAGCAACTATCAGGAGTATTTAACTTATTCCTGGGAAAATGAGGAGTGAAAGGAGGCTCACTGAGATTCCAAAGACCAAGTGAAATATCTTTAAAATAAAAAAGATTGTGTAATATCCTTCATTCTTGGCTGCCTCATCTCAGAGGGAGACAGAGCTGTAAGAAGGAATCATTCCAGGTTCAGAAAATAACCATGAATTAGACTTTTTCTTAAGATTTTTAATTGGTTCGCGCCAGGAGTATAAATTTCAAAGAAAAATGCTACAAAGATTTTGGTCCTTTTTCTCTTATGTCACCTCAGGGAGCAGCTGCACACAAAAACCTATGTTAGGCAATTTGGCAGGGAAAGGAACAAAGAGAGCAGGAGAGTCCTGATGGGTAGATGGAACAACTCAGAGGCAGTAAGTGCTGCATTAGGCAGGCTGCAATCTTTAAACAGCATGTTCCAGATTAAGTGGTTAACTGTGGATCACAAATCACCAAAAGAAAGAAAGTCTCTCACGTGCAGAAGGTGTTATTCAGCATTGCAGTAGACAATTTTGTGAAGCTAGCCTGTAATACTTGTATTTTAGGTCAAAAAAAGAAGTTTGCATAGGTAAATTTGGCTAACTACCACACAAATCAGTGGAAGCTAAATAGCAGTTGGACATAATTAACATGAAACAAATGGAACTGTGTTTAGTTTTCCCCTCTGTAAGCTATATGCTGTATTCCCCTATCTTTCAAACTGTTGTTAGGATAGTTGCCCTAATATGGAAACTGTGCATAGTTCTTTGTTAGTGGAGACTGATGGATACGTTGCTTTTGTCATGTAATTGTTGTGACTAAAAGTTGTTTTTCTAAACAGGCTACAGTCAGTTGGAAAGAAGTAAGCAGTTTGCAGCCTGCTCTTCAATGCTATGTATTTTCTGTGCACATCAGTCAATCTGCACAATGCAGTTTGAAATGAAGTTCCTGCCCAGATCCAACAGACTAGTCAATGGGAAGTCAGAAAGGAAAAAGAGAATGGAGTAGGAAAGGAGGGCATATTTTCACATTTCACTTAGTAGAAACAATGCCTACTCACTTGTACTTTACAGAGTGTTCCTCACTCCTCTGGGAACACAGACACAGCACTTACACAGAAGTGCAAGACACTTCTGGTGACACAGAGGGGTGTAGCTATGAGAGCAGCACTAAGACAGGTTCCTGCTTATGTACAACTAAGTGTTTCAGCTTAATACTTGTGCTCTGAGATCTTTTTCACAGAGATGTAAATGTCAGGGACAGATAGGAGGGAAGGAATCTCTGAACTCTGCTACAGTGTCATGCCTGACACTTTTTTATCTTGCAGGATAGTGTGTGCAGCTCTTATTGTAGCTATCATTTTCTGGCTCATCTTTGATACAGCAAAACAAGGATCCCGCCAGCTGATCTCCTTTGGTGGGCTTGTGATGTATATTCTCTTGATGTTTATATTCTCCAAATATCCAACAAGAGTGAGTATTTAATCTATTTTGGACCTTTCTTATTATAAGTTTAATGTTCTCAAAAACTATTTCCCTGTTTAGGACTAAGTTCAGTAAAAGAAAATTCATTAAAACCAGAATTTAGCTTGTCAGAATACAGTGATGCGTTTCACTTTGGAGGAAAGGCATTTTGCTCTGACATCTTGGGAAACATTCATAGGGCTGCATTAGCAGCTGGTTCTCATTAGTTCTGGAGGCCATTTCCTGTCCTTGTACTAGCAGAGCTGTGGGTGGGAATGCATTTGCTTCCAGAGCGTGAGTGTAAGCCTGGGCAGGTTGCTCCTTGCCTCTCATCCACAACAGGCTTACCACTGCTTCCAGAATGTCAGGTTAAAGTGACAGTGTACATTCTTGTCATGTCAAAGCGCTGCATGGAACTGGAGCTCTTGTTCTCTCAGAAGTTTTATTCCCGCAGCAAATGTCAAGCTCAGTCCTACAGATTTCACTAACAAAATAGGCTCCCTGATGCAATTTACATTAATTTTCCAACTGAGATTTCCACCATAATTCTCTGCACCACTGTGATATCACAAAAGCCATGGCAACTCTCACCTCAGCTTCCAAAAAACTTTGTGCTGTCCAGCAGGTCCAGGTTACACTTAATTGGTTCATATTATTAAAATACCAACTGAATGAATTAACAAGAGCCATCTCAGCAATATGTCTTGTTAATTATCAGATGCAGTTTTCACAAAATAAAATAAAGTTTTCCTGAGGCAGCAGAGCAGAAATCTGTGTGTGTAGTAAAGAGGGGCCATTCAAATACAGACATGGCTTTTCCTGTGACTGTCTTTGTGTTGCATGACTAGCAATAACTACCACTAAGTAGCTCCCAAGTATACAAGCTGGGAAATACAGCTGCAATTACTCAAACATATGATAAAGTCTGTGTAGAAATAGATATACAATTTTAATAGAAAAGTCACCTTAGTTACTTCTTTTTGGATGATGATTCCAGTTTAAAAAAAAAAAAAAGAAAAAAAAGAAAAAAAAAAAACTATGGAGGGAGAGGGGGGGAGAAGGAGGAAGAGAAAGAAAGAAAGAGAGACAGAAAGAACTCTGTCAAAGTAACACTTGTCTGCTACCATCATTTGTGTTTATTTCAACTTTAAACACAGAAGAACTATCTCTCCTTTTATTCTTACTTGCTTGCTTGCAGTCTGTGTTGGTGAAATGGGCATGTTCACACTTATATAGCCAGATTTTCAGCACTTATTTCAGATAGAGATAGTCACATCCCAGAGTTCTCCCATTAGGAGAGACTTATGCTCCTTGCTTTGGCAGCTGCTGCTACCCTGCAGACTAGCCAAACAATCCATTAAGCATTATGTTAAGAAACATCTGAACTATATTGTTATATATTACATAAGAAGAAGTTTCACCATTTTTATTTTTCTGTCCATCTAGGTTGCTTGGAGACCAGTCTTTTCAGGAATAGTAATGCAGTTTATTCTTGGGCTTCTTATTCTGAGGACAAAACTGGGGTTTGATGCATTTAACTGGCTAGGCATTCAGATCCAGGTAAGCTACTGGACATAAATGTTTATTTCTTATGTCATTTTCTGTTTTGAGGCTATTACCTAACAGGCAGCGCAACAATCCATTTGCCCCTAGATGTTTTCCCCTCATGAGGAAAACTGAGTTCTGAGAGGTAAATGACAGCCTACATTCAGTCTTCTCTTTTGTCTCATCCAGATACCACAAGACCCCTTGCAACAGGTTGATAAATAATGACCAGAGTTTGTTAATATCTTTACCTTCCTTGGGATAAAATCATATCTTGCATCCCTCCAAATGCAAAACTGCTTTTGTCCCATTTCTCTCATAGAAATACCTAACACTTGGTCCAACACCAAAATATCCTTCCAAAAATCTTGACATGATGAAAAGCTTTGAGATTTAGCAAGCCTGAGGAACCACTATCTTCAGAACAGTCATAGTTCCAGGGGCTTGTAATACTTACCACAACCTATAAAAAAGTAAGGAAAAAGTAGAAGAATCCACCTCTGGGACAAGGCAAACCACTTCACTGCAAACAGTAAGAGATCTCTAGAGTGGGGCAGGATCCCATCATAGGTATCTGTAAAGGTAGTCTGCAGACACAAAGGTTTTTAAAAAGTTCACTGTTGCAAAGTACTAAATAAGAAAAATACAAAAATCAGATTATAGAGTACTCACTGAAGGACAGTCAGACTTTCATCACAGAGTTACTATTTATACAGCTGTTCTTCACAGTACAGATAATTAAGTGCCTTTAAAGTAAGACAGTGCAGAATGTACTGTCTTTGCACAGGATGGAGACACACATCTGACGTCTGTTTGCTGCTAACCTGCAAGCAACAGAAGTTACCTGGGTTTTGTCATTGGATTCTCAGCCTTTCCTTTCAGTTCCCACTGATGCACATCTAGTGCCCCCTCTCGTTAGCTCCATGTGACTTATGGCCACTGCCATTTTAACTACCCATTTACATCTCCATTTTACATTTTATCACTGATAGCACAGGTTGGCGTCAGGAACATAAAAATGAACCACAATACCAGAATTAAAAAGTAAAATCTTCTTTTATGTCAGCTTTTGACTGTTCTTTTTACATCTCATTACCTCAGCCATCAAATCTCCCTTTCAAACTGTATCATTTATTGTATATATTTACATTGGGAGTGTAGAATACCACAGTATCAGGATCAAAAAATACATTCTCCTCTTAGTAAAGCAGGAAAACTTGTCCTGTGTTGTCAATTTACACAGTTGGAAACAGTGTGCACTTGTGGCAGAACAGAGCAGAGACCCCTAACTGACACAAGGTCAGTTAAGCCTTGACCCATAAAGAGCATAGCACAAGATCCTTGAACCGCACAAAATCGCTGCAACAAATCTAGCAGTATTGGCATGCTTTTTGTTGGTGACACAGAGCCTATTACTCATTTCATTTTATTTCTGTCTGTAGACTTTTCTGGAGTACTCTGACACAGGTGCTAAGTTTGTGTTCGGCGAAAAATACACAGATCATTTCTTTGCTTTTAAGGTAAGGCAGCTTTTATAAATACAATATGGGAAGATAGGCTGCAGAAAGGAACAGAATGTTTTGGAAATATATGCTTTCTATGTCTTACGAAAAGAGTGTAGTAACCTGGGAGATCAGCTAAGAGGCAAACTCTCCCATATTCTACTCTGCATAGAAGATCTGGGAACCTCATATATAATGGACGGTAGTTAGAGATCATGTAGTAATGGCTTTAAGCTAAAACAGTGTAGATTCGTGTTAGATATTGGGGAAAAATTCTTTACTAAGAGCATGGCCAGGCACAGGCACAGACTGCTCAGAGAGGATGTGAATGCCCTATCCATGGAGAGGCCAGGTTGAATGGGGCCCTGGGCAGCCTGATGTGGTGAAAGGTGTCCCTTCCACTTTAAAGAAACATCATCTCCTGCCTATCTTCTTCATGTCTGCACAAGGTTCTATACTGTGCTATACTATCATATCCTGAATTGCTGTGTAGACCACTAACTATCAGACATTGACTATGTAGAAGTGGAAAGCCTAGGTGTATTTTTACACCAAGGAGAAGGTGCTCATGCGGAAGCAGGGAAAACTGCATAAGTCACATCTGCCAATAATGTGATCCCCAGATTCTCCATCTCTCCCTTAGAATTTGTTAGGAAAATGCTGAAATACAGCTCAAGTGCACTCTGTTCCCTCGTATGTGTCAACGTTCTGCCTGGCTTTGTTACCACACATAGTTCCTGTCATGGCACATTCTTAGTTTGGGATCAAGAACATTTATATTTTCAAAATAACAACAACAACAACAGGATTCTGAAAGGGGCATTTCTCTGTTTAGCACTTTAGACATCTGATTATGGATTTATACAGCTTTTATCTTCTTTCTTACCTGGAGATATCAAAACAGGATATTCTTACACAGTTAGCTCTATCACGTCTTAAAAGTAATTAAAAAAGGAACCTGTAAAAATATGTTGTTACTACAAATGCTCATAACAATTTGGGGAGGAGAAGGGAGGTGGAGAGGGAGAGAGAGGGCTGGAGGGAAGCATTTCAGTAAGAAATAGAAATTATATTTTAATATATTATATGGGCGTAACAAGGCAGGAAAGGAAGGCAAGAGAACAGCATGGCTGAACAAGAACCTGCTGATCAAACTGAAGATCAAGCAAATGCACAGGCAGTGGAAACAGGGGCATGTACTGTGGGAAGAGTGTTAAGGAAGCTGCTAGACTGTGTAGGGATGGAGTTAGGAAAGACAAAGTTTAGCTTGATCTAAGCTTTGCAAGGGATGCCAGAAGAATAATTTAAACAGAAAGGTCAAGTCCAGGAGGGACTGAATATCCAGTTTTATGGGTCTCAGTGAGATGCATCCCAATATCCTGAGAAATTGGCTGATGTAGTCACCAAGCCACTCTCAAAATATCTGAAAAGTTGTGGCATTCAGGTCAAGTCCCTAGTGTTTGGAAAAAAGGCAACATCACACATGTTTTTAAGAAGAATGATAAAATGACCCTGGGAACTACTGACCTGTCAGTCTTACCTCTGTGCCAGAAAAGATAATGAAGCAGATCCTGCTGGGAGCTCTGCTGAGGCACATGGAAGGCAGGGAGGTAACATGGGAGAATTATCAGGGCTTCACTAAGGGCAAGTCCTGTTTGACCAAACTAGTGGCCTTTCATGATACTGAAACTGCTTCCAGCAAGGGAGCTACATTTCTAAGCCTAGACTTCTAGTTCTTTGTTACAAAGTATATATGGAAGTGCTAGTGGCTTTTTCAGGGTACTCATTAAATTTCTTCATCGGTTAAATCTTGTCTATCTAAAGGTACGTGGTAGGTACTAGAAACTTTTGGAGACTAAGCTTTGACACTGTTTTTTCACAGAGAGAGATATAGTTCCATTAGTTTGACCAAGAAGGTATAATTACACTGCAGGACCTGTCCGTTCTTCCCTTATGGAAACATGCTAGCCATATATGGAGAGAAGGTCCAAGATGAGGTCCATCTGACTTCCGTGTTGTATTTTCTTTGGCACTGACATCACCTACAGGTTCTGCCTGTGTGTATATCCAAGCTTAACTGATGAATAGGTTTGGTTTTAGTCATTTGTCTTTGATTTTCATTGCATTTATTTCTGCAGACAGTGTAATTTAAAGTCCCTTGCAATGCAGTGTGTTGCATGTAGCTGATTTCCATGTGCTTGTATTAGAGTAAAGATTTGCAAATATTTTCCATGTGATTTTGTTATGTCCTGGATGACTGCTAGCCTGAACAGATCATTAAAACAGCTATTTACCTATTAAATGGTTTCTGCCATTTTCTGATGAAGACGTAACATAGTAGGTGCAACATTAGGTCTCTGGGGATTTAGTTTAGTTTCAAAATAGTCTCCAACTTTTTATGCAGTCAAGGGAGAAATTGTCACAACTGACAGATAACCTCTCTGTTTTGTAAAAAGTAACACTACATCCAGAACTGCCTGCAACTCAGAAATGGAGAAGCATGATTTGGAGTTCTCCAGGTTATTTTCACAGGAAGTGTGATTGATGTGAGGCAAAGGGATGCTTGCTGTCACCTACCACAGACAGAACATTGGCTCCTATCTCCTTCAGACAAAAACATTCTGCTGTATCAACTGATAGCTCTTCTCATCCAATTGGAGTGAAAGACACTTAGGATTTTAACATCTGACATACACAGCTGACTTTTGATTATCTAAATTGAGTTTCTGGGGTTTATCAAAACTGTTGATTGTATTAACTCCCCTCTAGAAAGGAACAGCTTTAATTTGCTGGAAAGTTCTGAACTAATGATATTTTTTGATTTTTTTTTTTTTTTCCCATTCCATTTACTGCTCTTATTTATGATATACTATGACCTCAGTTAAGCACACATGATACCCTATTATTCCTAGTGGCATTGTTTTAACCATCATTAATTTGTCTGACATATCCTGGAGACTTCTGAAAGATTTTTTTTTTCTATTAGTTTTTTCTATTAGTATAGAAATGATGTGCTCCCATGTGTTTACCAACTTGAGAATTAAGTGATATTCATTTTATTAAACATGAAAAACTAACACACATAATAACTTGTCACATAGTGGTTTAGACATTCTTGGAATTGTTTTAAATCATATGTTTAAGGAAAATGTTCCTTCTACTTCCACTGAAGAATACATATTTGATTCTCCTTATATTTAATAAGTATAAATGTGTGAATTTTTTTTTAAGCAGAATGTATCTGTGCTTACAGTTACAGAGTTCTTTAATAAGCCACATTCAATGTTATCAGTATAATGGAATAACATAAAGAGGATTTTGCTATATTGTGTTATTAAGAGGCAGCTACGCTGCTTGAGCTTTCTAAGCAAGCTGCCCTTTATTGTGGCAAATTGAGGCAGTTACAATTCCCGTTAGAATCTCTCCATCTTCTGAAGGATTTCTGTCCCAATACTTACATAGCTGTCTAAACAGGATTTTTTTTTCAGAAATAAACACAGAGGAGCTGAGCTCTGAATACTAGGCTATTGTATGTATTTCATGGCTTTCAAAAGTCTGTACATGTCTTAGAAAGTGCTAGTGCTTAGTAAATGTTTGAGCTCACATAAATATGGCTATAAACAAATACTTCACAGATAGACGGTAAGTAATTCCAGCACAACAGTTCATGAAGGTTAAAAGTTTCACAGCATAGATGTAAACTTAAAGATTAGTTTTCAAGACTTCTAAGTGTATCTCAAAAAAGATGAGCCTACAGAATCACGGACAGGAAGACTATTCCAGAAGTTTAATGATTTTATGCTTCCCAATCAGGTCCTGCCAATTGTGGTTTTCTTCAGCACAGTAATGTCTATGCTTTATCACATTGGATTCATGCAGTGGCTCATTGGAAAGGTAGGAATTGCTAACAGTACGTTCTTGTTTGCCCAATCACCTCTTGAACGCCTGTATCCTTTCAGGGAGAGACATATGGAAAGTTTATTTTTAACCTGACAATAGTTTTGAATGTTACCACTACAAAATCCTTAGTGACAACACCAAGCACAGTTTCCTCCCCAGACTGTACTGGTAATGCCACAGTAGCTAGTGGCTTTGCATGGCTGCTTCAGAGCCCCTCAGATGCCATACTTACCTAAATCTTCCTTTCCACCTGTCCCATGTCCATTTTGCATCCCACAAAATGCAGGATTAAGGCTACATTGCAGCCAGTGGTTTGCTGCCTACTGCAAAGTATTGCAGAAGTGATTGTGAACACCACCCACACACATCCACAGGCTACCCAAGGAACTTGTCTCCCTGAATGAGATTACGGAATCACAGAATCAAAGAATGTTCTGAGTTGGAAGGGACCACAAGAATCAAGTCCAACTCCTGAATCCAGACAGTACCACCCCAGAATCAAAGATTGGAGACTGTTTCCTCACCTCATACTTTGTCTTCATTTTTGTCAGGTCGTAGGTCCACTGTCCAGTCTGGAAAGTTGGTTAGAAAGTCTACAGTTAGTCTTTCTACCTACATGCCCGGTGAATTTATCAGATGAGGGAAAAGATCTTTTTATTGGTGACAGTTAAAGCTTATTTCTGGATAAACATGAAAAATCTTTTGTTGTTCACATTTACAGATTGTTACACAATAAGCACAAACTTCTCCAAGATGAAATACTGTGTACTAAAATTTTTAGCCATAATAAAATTCTGCATTTTGTTCCCCTTTATATGGTCAAAGTCCCTTTGGAAATGTACATAAGTAATAATGACATATCAAAATATCTACTTCAGTTAATTTAGTTCAGCAGCTAGTGCCCAGGAGGAGTCTGAGGTCTTTCAGAATTTTACCCTCAATTCTGTTAAATTATTCCTCCTTGTCTTATTTAAGCATGCTACTCCTAAATGAACACACATTATCTTGATATTGAAATCATTAAAATTAAATATTTGTGGAGTCTCAGAGGCCAGATACTGACATGATTAATTCAAGAAGTTAATGGGTCAGGCACACTGATGTGTTCATTTGTTTTTTCTTTTTCTCACTTTTCATCACTTTAGGTTGGTTGGATAATGCAGATTTTTATGGGAACAACTCCTGTTGAGTCTCTTGTAGCTGCTGGTAACATATTTGTGGGACAGGTGAGCTTAAGCATGCAAAAACATGCTAAAATCAGATTACTGAATATTGTGAAATATGACTACTCAGCAAGCATCTGTGTATAAAAATTCAATTCATGTGAAGTAAGACAATAGTACAGAAAGTGTGGTGGTTGATTTCCTGGAAGATAGAATTCTGCTAAGTTAACGTGTTGGCTGTAATATATAACAGCATATACTTTTGGAAACACATCTGTTCCCAAAAGATGCTCAGATATAAATGTAGGTAATAGATTTCCCTTAGGCTATTTTTTTTTTTTTTTTCTTAAACTAAGGAGAAAAGAAATGGGATGAAAAGGGGCACGAAGCAGATAGTGATAGAAAGAATGGGATCCTGGCTCATCTGCACAAGGCCTTAGCCATGAAGGCATAGCACATAGTCCACTTAATGGAAAATCCAGTAAAATAATACTACAGCAGTATCAGTCCGAGTCTTCAGAGAAGAGTGAAAAGATCACTGAGTACTGTCCAACCCCAGAAAAACACTTAACACATCATAGTTACTTTGCAACAGTGCCTTACTCTTTCATACTTCTTCTAGTATGCCCTTAACACTACCCTCAGAATATGTTCACACTCATGCCAGAAGTACTCAGAGCACCTGCCCGTAAATTCTGTCTGGTATGCATGTATCACACGATGCACAGCCCAACCTGCAGCTCAGATCCATAGCTGTTTCTAGTTCACTCAGAACTGGATTTGGATTTCTTGGCAATTTCACTTGGCCTTTGGAGGGAAGTTAAAATCTGCAAGAATCATCAGCAAGAGACATGCTGGCAAAATTTTCCCTCCCGAAGAAAAAAACCCAAATTATTCATGTTCAGAGCACTCATTAGCACAAAGATTGACTAGTGAAAAACCTAGGAATGTGCAATGCAGCTGGTGATTTTCCTGCCCATTTAGTAAGTTAAATTTCTGAGGATATATTAGGAAGTTCTGAATTTGTTGTTTCTTTTTCAATTCCAGACGGAGTCTCCTCTCTTGGTACGGCCATACTTGCCATACATCACCAAATCTGAACTCCATGCAGTCATGACAGCAGGATTCTCAACTATTGCTGGAAGTGTCTTAGGAGCATATATTTCTTTCGGGGTAAGTGAGGGAGGGAGAGCTGAAAACATATGGTTTAGCTTAAACTATTTAAGTATAGAAGCCCAGCTAAAATACTGGGAAGTACACCTGAGTTATTCCTCTACCTCCTTTTTTTTTTTTCTTCCTGATAGAAGTAATCACAAAAAATTTCTTGTTTCCTGATAGAAGAAGAAGATAACATGGTCTGATCTAAAGTAGAGTAATACACCTTAGGTGTAAAGAGAATCTTCCTGCCGTAGCTCCAAGGAAATTACTGGTTTCTGTACATTTCTACAGTCCAGATGAACTAACGTGGAATATGCTAGCTGGTCAATGCCTGCTGCAGTGACAATGCCTGAAATCCTTCAGGAGTGGCAGCTAGCCATACGATCCTAAATACTCCGTTTGTGACCGAGGTTCTAGTAATGCTGTATAAACACTGTGAATGCCTTGTCTGCCATGAGGTAGCAGCACAAGATTGGACAGAAAAGCAAGGCTGAAGATGTGATTTTCTATCAAAGACATCTGGGGATGGATGATAAATTTGTTCTGAATAAAATACAATGGAGAGACGGAGGCAAAAAGAGAGGACTGACTGAAAAGACCAAGAAGCAAAGAGAGGAAGAGCTAGAAATACTGCAAAAGCTAGCAAAGTTTTTTGTGTAGAAATTTGTGAAAGAAGAGATGAAAGGGTAACAGAGAAATTAAGCCATGTAAATTTTTTTAATTGCACTTTCAAGGGACAGAAATAATGTTTGGCTATCAAGGAACATATATGCACTGTTACAGAAGCTAGCTGTCACTCCTCTGTTCTTCAATTGCTACATCCAGGACCTGGATTTTGTTTTGTTCTGCCATGCATCTGGCTTTTTTGCTTCTTTCTATCTTTTGATTTTTGGTTTGGACAGGAGAGAAGCAGCTCTCCTCGTGGAAAGATTACTTTGTACTTTTTACTTCTTAGGCTTCCACTCTTTCCAATTAGCTTTTTCCAGTTTTCTTTCTTTCCCTATGAGTAATGTGATATTTTTAATGACTCCCTGTAGAAAAATTATCCACTCATCTAATGATTTTAGTTGCTTTCTACATGCTTGTTTATGATGTTCATGATGCAGTTATCACAGCATATTTTCTGTCACTCAAAATTCTAGGTTTCTGCCTCCCACCTACTGACTGCTTCTGTCATGTCTGCACCAGCATCATTAGCCACCTCCAAACTGCTCTGGCCTGAAACTGAAAAGCCTACAGTAACTTTGAAGACCGGCCTAAAAATGGCAAAAGGGTAAGCTCATCTAAGTTCTAGGTTAATAGTAATAATCTTGTGAAAATACCATTCAGAAAAGTAATTAACTCCTTATGCTTAAGATTTAGGGGCAGCACATAATGAGTGGGCAGGAATTAAATAAAGTACGTGCCGCTATGTGCCAAACTAGCAGTTTATGAATTTTAGTGCAGCATGCCCAGCTATAACTATCTGAAGGTACTACTACTCACCAGAACAGGTGCAGAGCTGCCATGCACCTGGGCTTGACAGCTCTCCAGGAGATTGAAATGCCTGTCCAATGTGAATCACCAAAACATTTTCCCATTTGTTCTTTTCTTTGCAACAAATCCATAAATACAAACAAACAAAAACAAAGGTAGAGCAACCATATCAGTGACGGCAGCAGCAGCAAACTTTTTGCCCATCTGCAGGGATACTTAACTTGCCTCAGGAATGACAGACAAAGCAGAAAGTCTTGGAAGGAGCTGCTTCTGAACAGAACAAGCATCTCTGCAAGGGCTGCCTGCAAAAAGATCAGTGCCCACTCCCTCATCCCAGCAGCGTCTCAAGCAGTCACAGCACTGGGATACGATACAGAGGTTGCCCAACCTCTATTTCCAAAACACTCTTACTCTCAACCATGCCAGAATTTGTCCTCAGGGTACCAAAGACACACCCTCCCAGTATCTCCCAAGAGGATCCAAGGCACAAACCTGCTTTACCTGACCATTATTTTCCCTATGACTGCACAGACAGCTCTAGGAGTTGGTTCCTAATCACATTCATGCAACTTTTAGATCTGTGATTTTTCTTGAGTTACAAAATGTTTACACACTGTTGTGTTTTTGGTGTTTTTTTCTTTTTTTCACTGAAAAAGTGAATCAAATAACCTGCTGGAGGCAGCCAGTCAAGGTGCATCCAGCTCTATTCTGTTGGTGGCAAACATCGCTGTGAATCTCATCTCCTTCCTTGCCCTGCTGGCTTTTGTCGACTCAGCCCTCTCTTGGGTGGGCAGTATGTTTGACTATCCACAGCTGAATTTTGAGGTATGGTCTTCAAGTCCTTAATACAGCTTATATGTGTATATAGTTTGCTTTTCTTAAATTATACATCTGTGTGGTTTATTGTTATCATTTGTTCTGTTGTGTTGACTTTTTAGTATGATCTAAAAATGTATGTTTTTGCATACGTATTCTTCAAAAATGTCTTTACTATAAAAGGGAAATTGTTGCCATGTAAATATTTCTGTTCATTAGTCCATGCAGAGTTTCCCTCTGGACTGTTTTTGATAAGCCAGTGCACTTTTTTGAGCAGTGTGTGCTAATACTTGTCTCCTCTGGCTTGGCTGTGTACTTGCCAAATCATTAACATCTCCTTCAAATAAACATTGAAGTGCCCTTTGCTTTAGATAGCCACAGCAAGTCCTTAATGCTCACCAGCTTCACCTAAATAAGGACAGTGGTACAAGGCTGGACTTGTTACCAGCACAACTTTAAAACTACGCCCGAATCAATCAGCTGAGAAAGCAGACTTTAAATAGGACTTAGTTTTTTGAGGATTTTTTTTTAGTTTAGGATGATACATCGTTTTTGACCCAACAGAACAGCGATTCAATGGATTTGGTCTTTCTGTTTTCCAAATTCCTGATACAACAGCAGTGTGAAACATGGATATAGCATTGTGATACAGGGGCTGAAGAAGTGGATAGACACTCACATTGGCTTATTTAGCAATATTAAGATGCTACCCTACAGAAATTTCCGCAGATTATTTCACAACACAGAGAATCAGAGCGGAGGAAAAGCATGTATATGCATACCTCAGCCATATTCATTACAAGAGTGGTGGTAACTACTGGATGGGGCAAGATTTGGATGAATGGATAAATCATAAGATTTAACAACACACAAACATTTTCATTAGGCCATTACTTTTGAGAGTCACTAACTTCTATTTTGTTCCATTCTGCTCTTGAAGAAGGTCTGGCTAGGACTGTAAGCCTAGTGGGACTGTGCTGTGAACATACAGGCTAGCTGTGCATTTCTGTCTTGAATGGAAAAGGAAGATGTTGGTGTGAGGACATACTTTTTGGGGGGAGGGTGCAGAAAGATGTGTAAGAACAGTAACTGCTTAAACATCTCAGGTTCACAAAAGACAATCTAATCAAATGCTTTCACTGCTTGACCTCTTTTCTTTTATTTGCAAAAATAAGCTATACTGGAATATGAGATTTGTTTTTTCTTGCATAGTTTTTATACTAGGAAAAATATGTATCATTCTAATGATGTCAGCAGTACAGCTTTTATGCAGAAATAAGCCCTTTGTTTATACCATTTGGAGTTCAATAACCTGTAAAGCCTGCTCATTAAAACACTTTATTTAATCAGCATGTGAACCAGACTTCTATTCTTTTGTAACACTTTTAATTCAAGCCTCTTTATTTTCTTCAAATGCTCTGTCCATTCTGAAGTCATTTTGGGGGAAAAATAAGGCACAGAGAATTATTTTATTTGAAATGTAAAACTGAGGATATATCTAATCACTGCGTTAGATCTAAATTTTGAGTTGATATTTTAAAAATTAATTCCCAATTTCTCAGATGTTCTGGCAGTAAGAAAACCAATGTTCCTATGCTGAAATTAACCCACCTTTACTTTCAGTCTATAGAACTTACCAGATGTCATTGTTCTTTGACCAATTATCACTTTCGTCTTACATATTTTGCAGAACATTTGTGCATATGTCTTTATGCCATTCTCCTTTATGATGGGAGTAGACTGGGAAGACAGCTTTATTGTTGGTGGACTCCTAGGTTATAAGACTTTCTTCAATGAATTTCTGGCTTATGAACGTCTCTCAAAACTGATCCGCAATCGAGAAAAGGGTGGGAGCATGTACATAAATGATGTGAAACAATATATGAGTGTAAGTAGCATTTTCTTTTATAGATATTTATTCAATCTAATTCTTTTTTGCTGCAACACAATTTAACTTTTAGTATGGGCTCATAGGGACAATGGTGGCATATTGGTTTAAACTGTGTCTTTCAGCAGCAGATCATAATTACTAAAATACAGCATTGTCTTGTGAGTCTGCCATGACTGTTATCACACTATATCTCAAACGAGTAAAGAAAGGTATAGCTTATGGGTAGAGAAGTTTTAAAGAATATGCCATATCCCACAAAACACTTTCCTGGAGTCCAAGGCTATCTTCAAAGTGACTTTTTCTTATTTCATTCTTAGGTAGCACTTTCCTATAAGATACCCTCCTAAGAAAATTCTGGGCAAGAACTGAAGGATATTCCCGTCCACAGAGATTTACTCAAGCATTATGCTTCAGGAGAGGAATCCAGGAAGCTCTAGCTCATAGCATTTAAAATAGTATCATCCTGTTGTCCATGCCACACCTCTACTGGAGGTTATCATCCCCATGCAGAAGGCAGTAGTACAAGGCATATAATATGGCATACACCATGCATTTTTATGCCATATAATTTGCACTTATTTACACAGGGGCAAAGAACACAGTGATCAAGACTGATTTTTGCAGCTGTGACTCTAGCATCCCCACTTCATGAGCTTTGCCACCTCCACTGCTCCTTGCTATTCCCATCAAGATAAGCTGTCAGTGTAGAGGACCCTTAATTAGGAAACCTACTTAGGTACAGGCTTTAATTTTCATTTTCTTTGGTATGATACTTTGGATACCTGCCTTGATACAAAACTAAAACCTTGTTCCTGACCACTTGAATTCTTTATTCCTGGAACATATTTCAGAAATTGAGGTATAAAGCCAGTTAGTCTGATCAAATTCTCACGCTCTTGCCCATGTTTCTATTATCAGTGATCCTGGAGAAAGATCTCTGAGCTAGATAGACCTTTGGTCAGCCTTGCTATAGTCATGCTATGTTCTAAAAGGGGAAAATGGCTGTGAATTCAATGAATGCTTAGATTTAGTCTGATTTAGATCCCATCATCTGTATTTTACTTTCTTTATTTTTTGCCTTTTTATTCAGTAAAATGCAGTGTAAGACTTCTTTGTTCACATTTAATACCTTCACAGAGCTGTATTAGGTTCCACAATCAAAATCTCTGAGATGTAAAAGCAATTTTGATTCATAACACTTGTAAAAATGGCCAAGTAATCATTTTAATTGGCACAACTGTTCATCTGAGAGTAGCGTAGCTTCCAGTTCTAATTTCTGCCCCACATAAATACTAACTGGTGTATCTAGTAACAGATATTCAGAGAAAGCAAACAAGCAGTCTTTTTTACTGCCTGATCTGAGTGAGTAATAACAAAGCTTCCAATTTTTTAAGCTGGGAGAATGCAAGTGAAAGCAGGAAATCATGGTACACAAAGGCTTTTCTAGGAAAAGCAGGCAGAATGTGCACTTGAAACACATTTTCCCGCATATGTACAGACTGATTGAAAATTTCTACAAATTGGTTTTCATAAAACAGGAAGGGAAATAGAGGAACCTGCTAATAAATAGGAAACCTACTAGAACACTCAGTCTTGCACATAAAATACAGTAAATAGAAGTTCAGAGGTGCCTGGGAGCAAAAATCTATTTGCTGAGAGATGCTGCATTTTTTCCCAAAGTGTTGGAACTACATTTGTCTTGAAGTTTCTAGCTTGATTCCACCCAGAGTCATTCTTGTTCCTGTGAGGGGTCCCTCCATGTGGGCAAAGTGCAACCCATACTTGTATGTTGCCCAAGAGAAGGAAGATCGCTGAAGTCAGGAAGCAAATAAATTACTAATAGGGTTTCATAAATCATAACATTCATCTGCGTGTTATTACATCAAAGCACCCACTCTGAAGGAATCACATTTCCGTTTTCTTCTTCCATACACAGGGTGGAGCATACACAGAGCAGCTGGGCTCATGAAGTTCTCTGCTTGTTAGGGATAGCACACCAAAACTTGAGATTTCAGCAGAGTGCTACACAGCCAGACCGGCTATGAACAGCATGATGAATTAAAGCTCTCTGACTCATGACATGATGTTCAAAAAGGCCAAGTGAAAAGTGTTGCACTTGGATCATGCAACCCCAAACATGTATGCAGTCTGGGAGAAGAATTCATCTCAGTGACCAGCCCTGCAGGGAAAAACTTGGTGAATGAAAAGCTGGTCATGAGCTTGCAACCTGAAAGGCCAACCTCTTCCTAAGCTGCAGCAAAAGAGGGTGGCCAGCAGGGAGAAGGAGGGGATTGTCTACCTCTATTCTGCCCTTGTGAGGCTGCATCCGGAATACTACATCCAGGCGTTGGAGCAAGTCCAGAGACGGGCCGCAGAGTTGATCAGGGGGCTGGAGCATCTCTCCAAATTTAGGCAGAGGGAGCAGGGCTTTTTTGGCTTAGAAAAGAAAAAGCCCCAAGGACACCTCATTGCAGCCCTCCAACAAAAAAAAAAACAGGGCTTATTAAAAAAAATATGTAGGCTGACTTTTTAAATGGTCTGACAGTGATAGGACAAGAGGAAACAGTTTTGAATTAGAAGAGGGGAGATGTCAGGAGGAAATTATTTACTTTGAGGGTGGTATGAGATGGGAACAGACTACTCAGAGAACCTGTGGTTCCTGGAAGTGTTCAAGACGAGCTTGCATGGGGCCCTCAGCAGTCTGATCTAGTGGGTGGCAGCCCTGGCCATGGGAGAGGGTTTGGAATTGGCTGGGCTTTGAGGTCCCTTTTGAACCACACCATTCTATGAGTCTGTGAGTCTGTGACACTCTGAAAAAATAATATCTAAATTGTCACTATGAGTTAAGAATAATTTTTGTCTTTAGTTACTTCTACTCATCAATGTATATGAAAAATAAATCTACCATGTGGTCTTTGAGTCCTCAGATATGAAAGCCTACATACCTGCAGGAAGGGAATGAGCTTACCTTGTTACAAGTCACACACTAGGATAGCAACCGTGTGAAATTTAATAATGTGATTTCAGTTCTCAGAGCCTTGGGCCACAATGCCATAGTTTCAGAGTTCTAAATCAGCATGAGCTGTCTCAGTTCATTCAACCGAGTATTTGTTTGTTTTCCAGGTCCGTTCTGAAACCATTGCCACCTATGCTCTTTGTGGATTTGCCAACTTTGGCTCTCTGGGAATGGTAATAGGAAGTCTAAGTAAGAATGCCCTTCATGGATTATTTATTTAGCAAGCAAATACCGAGGAAACACCCAGAGGGATGGGCTGCGGGTGAAGCTTGGCAGCTTCAGGGGCTGAGTATCTCTCTTTCAAGAACCAGTACCCAGCTGGGCATGGGAGGGCTCCCTAAGGGATATACACGTTGAGGTGCAGGAGATGAGCTGAGAACAAGGGGAGGGAACCAAGCCCTGACCACAGGTCTCCCTGTCAAAAACTCATGCTGCCAACCACTGCAGCTACTGTAGATCTTAGGCATTCGGGTAAGCAAACCATGTCTGTAGCCAACTCGTTTGAAAGACAAAATTAGTGTTTTTCTCTAAAAATGTTACAGATATGCAACTGATTAAAAAAAAAAAAAAAAAAAACTTTTCAGAACTCTAGAAGAATTCAAATTAAAGAAAAAAAGAAAGAAAGAAAGAAAGAAAATTCATCTGGCTCTCTCACTGCAAACCAGAATTGCTATTAGATCCCTTTACCATGGAGTCCAGGTGGGCTTTGCAGTGCCAGCATCAGGGCAATGTGTAAGAGCAGGATGGAGCTGCAGGGCTGGATCCCAGTACAATGACTGAGATTCATTTCTAAAAGCAGCTGTTGGCTGGCAGAGATGTGCAAATTGCCAAAGCAAACATAATTTGCCTTTTCTGTGCTCAAGCCAGCTTCTTAACAGCGTAAGCAAACCCTGCCACAGGGCTTTTAAATATCCCGGTAAACATATCTTATTTTCCTTCCTGATTTCTTCTGATTAGAGCCACAGGGTGGGGCTTTCCTCACATGAAGAGAAAGCTAGCAGGTTAATGTATTTGTCACAGCATCACAGAATTGTAGGGGTTGGATGGGACCTCCAGAGATCAATTATTCCAGTGCTTGACTACTCTCACAGTGTTGTTGTTTTTTTTTTTCCTGATATCTAGCCTTCTATTTTATGCACACTTTACTTTTCTTCCTAGCAAGCATGGCTCCATCCAAAAAAAAGGAAATTGCTAGCGCTGCTTTCAGAGCAATGATTGCTGGAACTGTTGCCTGTTTCATGACAGCATGCATTGCAGGTACTGTACTGAGTTTGGTGAAAGTGACCACTGGGCGGCAGTACATCAGTGTAATAAATATAGGGGGGGAGTTCCCTGTAACTTAAAACTGGTATTTTTTTTTCGTGAGATTAAAAGTCAATGTTGAATTAAAAGCTGCTGAAAAGTGGAGTATATGAAATATCTATTTCTTTAGTTTAAACTTTTTTTGTTAGTCTCTGTGTAATACCCGACAAGAAAAAAGATGTTAGCAAGTTATACTTAAGATAAAATCTCTCCTTTACACTGCTGCCTATCACAATAAAGAAGTAATTACAGAGCAGAAACAGTGAATTAGATGGGAAGTAGAATGCAAGAGAGAAGTGAGAGAAGCTACAAAATTTTTATCTTAATGCTAAAAGAATCTTTGAGGCTAATAGTATTCTCATTGTACGTTTAATTTAACAAAACTGTCTTAAAGTGAGACTCAACAGGAGATCCTTGTTTTCAAATTCTCACATTCATACTGAGTGAAGAATCACAAAGAAACAGCCAGTTTAGGGAGGAAATGAAAAAGCTCAGGAGATATTCCCAGGTATGATTTAGCAGACAGAACTCATACCTAGTATTTAACGATGCATTTTACAGCTTTCTGTTTGATAAGACATTTGATAAGCACTGGTATTTATACAGTGAAGAATTGTTGAAATTGTTTCTTTATTTAGCTGAAAAAGAAATCTGTCTACAGGAACCACAGCTTTCTTGTTCCTTTGTGATCACTGCAGCAGCAATACCATACATGTTGTAAGGATTATTCTGCTCTGTTTTCTGAAGGCTATAGAAGTAAAGTATCTGAAATTTCATTAGGCACACTGCCTCCATAGTGTTTTGATACATGAGACTACTGCATATATAATTGAGGAATCAGGAAGTCTTACTAAATGTTGTCGTTTCACAAACTTGGCCTCAGGAATAAAGTTGTGAACAGCTACTGGGTAATTTTTCCAAAACAACAAAATCTGCCATGGAAAGAAAATTGCATTCTACCTTCTTCTGGCATGGTAGATGCTTTATTTTACCCAGAAGGTGAAAGAGACATAGAATTTCTACTATCGCATGTAAGATAACATATTAAAATGTGGCCATGTTTTACAGCACTAAGTTGAAGAAAGAGGTGTTATTTTCATATTTTTGTGTCTGCATCCCTACATTGGATGTTAATATTTGTACTTTTGGAGAACATCAAAGCAGGTAGATAAACCATACATATTCTTTTAAAACAAAAGAAAAGCTTGTGTGTACACTTGTTCTGCTATAAATATAATGTAGCTCCATTTTATTTATTGAAAACGCACTGCCCAGCACTAGCATACATTTTTAGAAGCATAAAAGGCATAAAAAGCCTGAATGTTCTGGGTCTCCACAGTTTAATTTCTATAAAAAATGTGTGATTCCTTAATCCAGTTCTGTAAAATTTTTGAAAACTTCTAAGATTTTTGCAGATTTTAAACTTGCAGCATTTTATAGAACTATTTCAAGGGATGATTTCAAATCAGCCGGAACATTTTATCCAGCCTTGCTCCAGCAACTGACACTCCCTAATCTTACAATTACCAAAATTTTTCCTTACTTAACAGGAATGATGGTCATCCCTGATGTGGAAGTTCCATGCCACATTTTGTTACGAACTGCCTTCAACTCTGCGAGTTCCCCTGCCAACATCACGGAGCTGGTTGAATGCTGCCAGGAGACATTCATCAGGTAATGAGGGCCTGAGTATCCTCCACAAGTAGGGCAGGCTTTGCTGCAGGTGTTCCTCACCCTACTTCAGTCCCACAGCAGTGGGAGGCAGCACACAGGTAAAGGGCTGGACCAGTCCCTCCTGCCAGCGTACCCTGGCCCCTTCCTCAGACCATTCCCATCTCCCAGCCATCAGCATGGGGGAGTTGAGTTTGGGAGAGAGCTGCAGGCAGAAGGAGCAGGTGGTGATGACACCCTCTGTCTCACTGCAAAGGCCCAGGTGGGCAAGGGTCTCATTCAGCAGCTCTGCACCTAGTAACAAGGAGCTCTTTATCTTTTTAGCAGCCTATCTAATCTTTTTTTTTTTTTTAATTCTGCTTTCTTTTTCACCTACTTTTTGTGAACTTGCACTTTTTAAACTTTTGAGTCATATGATAACTTTAACACATTTACAGTCACTTTTTAAAAATTACGTGTCCATGTGTATATGTGTAAAGAGGAGCAAATCTGATTTCTGTTTTTCCTTTCTTCTCTAGTGCAAACAGTTCTCAGGAGAGCTTCTCTGGAGGAAACTACGCCCTGAGTTTCTGGAAAAAATGTTGCCAAATACTGAATCAAACAACTTTTAATTGCATATGAATTAAGCCTTAATCTGGAGTGGGATAACTAAAAACCATGTTTCTTGGCAGAAAGGCAGTAAAAAGCTTCTTCTTCTGCAATTGTGAATAATATGAACCTTTATTTCCTATCTCCTGCAAGCCTACTTCTTATGATATGCATAGAATTAGTTCCAAAATTAAACTGGGATGAAAGCAAGAGACCTCCTGCTATAGATCTGTTCTCCTGTTACACATCAGAAAAAGAGGAGAACATTTCTGATTTCATTTCTACCCTGAAACTGATGAATCTGTAGCATAAAACTATTATTGGCAAGAAGAAAATCAAGGGGATCTGACTTGTAATTACAGAAATTTGTGTACTCCAAATATTTTTAGAATTACCATCCTTTTTGCTCTATTTTGATACTTTAGAAGTGGTTTCACTGCAGGTAGATGCCTCTGTTCTCAGAAATTCTCTGTTCTCAGAAATTCTCTGTTCTCAGAAATTCTCTGTTCTCTGTACACTTCTTCTGGTAACTATGGCTACATTTGATCTGAGCTTCTAGCATGGGATGCACCTCATCCCCTTGGTCACCAAAGTACACAAAACAAGGACTAGCCACTGTGTGCCCCAGCTCTCATCTTTCTGTCCTCACAGAAGGCAGGAGGCATCCTGTCTGTATCTGAAGTCAGGAGGCTGATTCGTGCTTAGAGTTAATTCACATGACTTGGAAAGGTCCAAATCCCAAAGGAAGATTCCCACATCAATTTGTCCCAACCTTTATTGCTGAAGGTTGATCCCATGGTCACCAAGTGGGTACTCACTGTCATATTCCTAACAGAACCAAAAGAGCATCAACAAAATGTGGATAAGATCAAGTCAGAATCCAGCTCTTTGTGAAAGCAACATTGATAGATCTCAAATACCAGGCTCTAAATAGAAGGATGTACTATCAAACAAAATATGTCAAACAAAAAAACTTATTTTATTTCTTCTGGTTATGTTTTCTACACCAGGTGCAGGATTATTTCTAAATTTCAGTGAGACAAGCTGTGTAGTAAGTTGCATAATATAATAGATCTTTTAATACGATGGGGAAAACAAACAAACAAACAAACAAAAAAAAACAGGAATTTTGGTAGTGAGTAAATCTGACATTCCTTCAGATGCCAGGAATCCTGGTTTCAGCAAGACTGACTTTTCCCACAGTTCTTAACCATGGCGAGGTCTTTCATGCTCTATTTGATGCTGCCTAAAAGCAAGGTTTCCAGCACATAAAGGAACGTAAGATTTATTTGTTATATCCCTTTTTCTTAATTCTAGGATGTAAGATTTACTTGTTATGTTCCTTTATTATTGTGTTCAAACAGCTGTACTGCCTTTACCTCTGAGCTTTAACTTTTACTGCTGAGCTTTACCTCTCCCCATGCAGAACACTGTGTTTGTGTGTGGAAATATAATAAAAAAGATTACCTACATTCAGGTAAACAAATATGAGTTTTCGTAAAATTTATGTATGTTTTTGAGAATCTGCCACAAGTGAAGAATTTATGTTAGAAACGGATGTCTGTTATGTTTTTAAGTTCTGCTCTTTTCATGGGCTTAAGAACTGAAAAGTTTTGTTTTGCAAAATATTTGTATATATATTCCTATCCCATGCCACTGGTAGAGCATATCTCACAGATAGAAATGAATCTGTCTATTCCGACAAATATGCATCTAACTTCTCATCTTTCCATTAATTATTGCAGAGTCTACTCTGGGAAAACCAGATTAATAAACTTAGCTGCCAATACAGCTGCTTTCAGTGGGCACTGATTTGGATTTATCCTAAAAGGCCCGAGTTTCCTGCAAAATTCAGTTTATTGACTTAATTCTCCAAAATTATAAATGCTAATAGTACTACTGCTTCTGAATTTCAATACCAGTTTCCTGTTTTCGGGTGTTTTTCTTTGGCCTCGTTCTCCAAGATTTAGGAAACTGCGTGACAGCCTCTGGTTTCAGTGCTCTTAAAGTGTGTTCCTAATCCTGTTAATTGCAGATCACGCTCAAATGCTTGATGCAATTCTGTCTTAAAGATTAAAACTGAGTGAGTGCACAGTTCTTAGTGACCACTATCACTATAGCACAGCATAGCTTTCAGATAAGTTCTGAGTTAGCTGATGTGAAATACAGAATTATATATTTTCAAGAGAAACGAATCAGAAACAATAACTCTGTCAAACAGATTGTCTGATGGTTTTGCTGCTGGCTCAGACAAAAGGTGATACAGACAGTGTATTGCATCCTAAATGTAACAAATGAAGCAGAGAGAGCTGGATAGACTGCTAAGTATCACCATGCTTCCAGGTAAATATTTTCCCCCCTTTTTTGTGATGGTCTTACAAATGGACGCTCTGTCAACACAAAAAGGGAGCCATGTATCTCATATGTTTTGAGTTAACCTGGCAGCTTGGGCCCAGGGTTATAAGTGCTCAGGAACACATTTCCAGTAACACAGTTGTCAGTAACAATGAACACAGAACACATAGCTACAAAGACATCCTGCTTAATCAAATGCTTGCTTCCACTCCATTCTTGTATAGATTCAAACTTCACAAACTTTTAGGGTTAAGCAATGGACAAAGCCTGTGTGATCATATCACAGTTTCAAAGGTCCTACAAAAAAAGGGAGAGCTTTACCTGCTTTGCAGTTACTGGCCTGGCAGCGTACACTGCATTGTAGCCAAGGCAGATGACTAACTAATGCAGAGTTGCCTCAATCTGTCACCTTCACAAATTATCCCCTGGATGTCACTATTTGCCTGAAAGCCTTGTGAAGCTCTGTACTGAAACATTTACAGTCACTAAATATCTGGTCACTAAAAATATAGTATCTAGTCACTAAAAATCACTGTTAACAATTCCAGGAAGTGTTTTACATAGGTGTACAACAATTCTAGGAAATATAACATGCAGCCTTTATTATGCTGAAAGCATATACTATCAAATTCTAAATATAATACAGCTTTTCTCTGGCCTCAAACAAAAAAAACATTGAAATATGCAAATGAGGAAAAATGGTAGGGAATGGGAATGTTTCTATTTTAACTGACTAAAAGGATTTGGAAAAAAAAAAAACCAAAAACAACACAACACTTTTAGGAACAACAGTTTTTTTCCAATTCTAACATCTCAAAACAGCCCTTGAAGCTTGTATACCCTTGTGATCGTATGAATAATTGTGTCAAAGACGCAAGTCACAACTGCAGCAAGTAAGGGAGCCTATCAAGTCTTCTCCAAAGGAAGTCCTACATTATCGCCTCTTTATAAGAAAATACATGAGAAGAGAGAGGGAAGTTTGCTAAAGAGGCAGAATATTAATAGTAATTCATTTATTTATTATCACCCCCACTAATTTTGTTGATAACACCAATGTGAGTGTTCCAGCTGATAAGGAAACCATGCAGAGTGATCTTGATGGGCCTGGGAGGTAGGCTCATGCAAACTTCATGAAGTTTAGGAAGTGCAAGGTACTGTGCATGGGTCAAGACAGTTCTAAACATCAGTGCAGACTGACTGACGGATTGAGAGCAGCTTTGTGGAGAAGGACTTAGGGATACTAGTGGCTGAGAAACTTGCCATGAGCCTGCAGTACATGCTTGCAGCCTGGAAGACGAGCAGTATAACTAAGCTGCATCAAAAGAAGTTTGGCCAGCAGGATGAGGTTTTTACTCTCCTTCTCAGCCCTTGTAAAGCCCAATCTGAATCCAGGTCTTGAGCCCCCAGCACCACATGCAGAGCTGCTGGACAGGTCCAAAGCAGGGCCATAAAGATTGTCAGAGGCTGGAGCATCTCTTTTCTGTCTGAGAGAGTTCAGATTGTTCAGCCTGGAGAAGAGAGCTCTGGGGAGACCCTGTAGTGGCTTACCAGTACTTAAAGGAAGGGTGCAGGAATGATGAGGGGGTACTTTTTACAAGGGTGTGTAGTGATAGGACAAGGTGTGTAACAATTTTGATATAGAAAGGGTAGGTTTATATTAGAAATAATCTATGAGTGTGGAGGTGATACAGTGGCAAAGGCTGCCCAGAGAAGCTGTGTGTGCCCCATCCCTGGTGGTACTCAAGGTTGGATGTGGCCCTGGGCAGCCTGGTCTAGTGGCTTGCTCATGACACGCTGGCTGGTACTGAATGATATTTAAGGTCCCTAACAATTCAAGCCAGATTTTCATCATTCCCTGAAACAGATATTGCTATATAGACTGCTATGTTAGACTGCTTTTCAGAATGCAGTGCAACAAATCCATGGTTCCCCCATTACGTCAGTCTATGAATCAGTGCAAGACCTTTGCATTTGGCCTTGACCCAGACAACTTCAAAATCTCTCAAGCAACATGCACTGTTTAGCATGACCTGTCATCAGTAAGGTGGCTCTGAATCTCAGCCCCATCAACAATGGCTGAAGACAAAGCTGTGTCCAAAGCAAAAGTTGCTTAGTGTCCTGGGGGGGTGCTTAGTACAGAGAGCACAGAGTCCTGACTGTCAGCCAACAGCACAGACAGATATGCCCAGAGACAGCTAGCATTTGTCCCCATATTCATTGAAGGCTTATGGCACTGTTCACACATGCAGCACCATCCTTTCTTTGCAGTCAGGCTCACGGAATAAGTAAGACTGCTAGCATCCTGATTTAAAACAAGAAAACAAATGACAACCTACAAATATTTAATGTTTGAAATTATGTATCAAAATATTTTCTCATTTATATCAGTCTAAGCTTGGGGGATGATCTCTGAAATTTGAATTGTCATACATTTAAACCAAGATAACCAAGATGAGAACTTGTTTTCTGGGATTTAATTCTGATTTTGAGCTAGTTTTAAAGTCATGTCAGTTCATGAGCTAATGGAAGTATTTTAATTATGACTATTATGATAGTGATCAGTTCACAAGTTTTTGGCTTGCCTACTGGAGATCTGAGTTAGAAACCTGAGAATATTCATGAAAACATACTGGTGAAAACCAGCTCAAAACTACTTCATGATGGATTAAAGCATTTTCTTGTTGCTATGGCATAGAGATTCACTATAGCAACCAGTGCATTAACTCAAAAGGCACTGATCAGAATGGATGGGTTGCCATTGTGAAAACATATATTTTCTTTTATATATATTGATTATTGCCTTTGGAATCAGATAGCTAGCAATGTTAGAAAGGTGCGAGCATGTGCCCTGTTGGCAAGTGTAGACTGAAGCTCACTTCCAGGTTGGGTTGGGTGAAATAAGAAAATCTCACGTGTTTACTTACAAAACCATGCGTGTTGCTGGGAGTGGTGCTGTTTGTTTTCCACATGCTAGAGAAGTGTTCCTACCTCAGCAGTGATTGCGTAGCAATGTTTGGAGTCCCAGTGTTAGGGAGAGCAGATCTGTGCATAGAGGAAAAAACATGGATTTGTGTCCAGCTGATAATTCTTCCACAGACCCCACATATCCTTTGAAATTTTCCCTGTGACTCTGATACCTCTGCTTCTGATATGCAAAGCAAAGCAGAAGCCTAGGGATGCTCTTAGCAAACACAATACATTAAAAACAGTTCGACAGCAGGAATTGGAGAGACAGGTCTTTGCAGCTGTGGGACTACACCCACAATCTCCCTCCAGCCTAATTTTGTATTAGGAAGTAATGAGAAATTGTGCATTGACTTGACTATTTTCTGTCAGAGATTCTTACGTATGGTTCGAAACAACGACAACGCCACCATCCTGACCCTTTTCCTAAACTGAACAGCGCTGGCTAAAGTAAACGAGGAAGTGCAAGAGTTAGGAAAAGAGAAAGAAAGGGAAAGAGAGAGGTAGGGGGCGGGAGGAGAGGATGTTACAGGGAAGGGGAAAGGGGG